GAAACAAATTTAAGCAACTTTCACTACAGATCTATGTTTTATAGATGCCATGTGGGGTAGAGAATAGTAAGGGTTTTTGAGTGCACATTGAAACAATTTTTATTTTTTTATATTCTTTAGTTCTCTTTTTAAAAAAACTTTGCCTTCTGTCTCTTTGAAACATCTTTGCTCCATACGACAGGCATATGTCACATGCAAAATTAATACTTGAGAAACTTTCATTTCTCTCCCAACCAGTCACTCTGACTGAGAAAACATCAACCAGTTTTTCTGGGCCATTATCCGGCTGATGTATCTCCTGACGTATTACTGATCCTGCAACCGTAATGTGTGATTTAATTATTTATTTTCCCCTCCCTCCCTTTCTTTGGGATCAGTTTTGTGCAGTGCTAGAAAAAGAGGTGTGCCAAAACTCAACATGAATGCTTCCACTGTTCTCTTATAATGGCAATGGTGCCCACTTGAGAGGTGCTGGAACTGAGTTGTGGTGAAAAAAAGCCCTGGTTTTGTGTAATATTCCTCAGTGTCAGGGGCGGGGGAAACTTGTGTGACCTTCCAGAAGTCATTGGACACCAATTCCCATCAGTCCCAGTCAGAATGGCCAATGCCAGGGATAATTGAAGTTGTAGTTCAGCAATATTTGGAGAGGAACTCGTTCCCCAAACCTGCCCTATGCAGATTACCACTTTTCTTTTCTTTTTTTTTAATTAAAAATTTATTGAAATTTTCAAAAAATCCAGAAAAGAGAAGAAGAAGAAAAAAGAAAAAAAATTAAAAACATTCTCCATTTACAATCCTTATTTTCAACAGATTACCACTTTTCTTGACTCTATAATTCCTCTACCCTGACACATGTGTTGAAAATGATCACTTCACTTGCAGGTGCAGTTGATTAGTCTTGAACTAATCAGTAAACTCCCTGTGTGAATGTGCTACCATTGTAGTCAATAAGCCTCCACAGTAGCCTCTTCCCAGTCAGTAGCTCTGGAAAAGACTTCGCCAGATGAAGCATCTCCGGCTCTTGTCACATCTACACCATACATTTAAAAAGCATGCCCTCACCCAGAGGATTCTGGGAATGGTAGCTCTGTGAGTGTGGTAAATTGCACTTCCCAGGATCCCCTGGAGGGAAGTAATGTGTTTTAAATGGTGTGGATGTGGCCTCTGCAGGGTTTCCCAAACCCCAAAACTTGGGTTTCCAGCTGTTTTTAGACTACAGTTCCCATCAACCCTGACCACAGTTCCTGCTAGCTAGGAATGATGGGAATTGTAATCCAACAGCAGCCGGAGACCCAAGTTTGGGAAACCCTGAATCAAGCAATTCTGTTTCTTCCACCTCCTTAAGCCAGAGGGAAGTAGCACAGTGTAGGTCGGCCGGGAGTTCACATAAACAGCTAAACTTGAAGTATAATTATGGGCTAGCTGAGTGTTTAGATCTGAGCAGGATGAGAGCATGCCATCAGTTCCCCACCTATGCAGTGGGTGCAATCAGGGTTTTTTTCCCCCAGCTGGAACTCAACGGTGGGCGCCATTGCCATTATAAGAGAACAAGGGAGGCGTTCAAGAGGAGTTCCAGCACCTCTTTTCCCTAGAAAAACAGCACCGGGTGCAATAGTATATTCAGATTGGTGACTAGGCATGCACAGCACTGCTGAAGGTGCATTTCTAAGGAATTAGATGAGACGGCCATGAAACGGAAGACTTTGAAGGAATATCACGGATAAAGAATTATGGCATGCTTGCACACTCTGGCTGCAACCTGCAAGCTCCCTAGCTGGCTCCATGGGCGACTTGGGATGCCCCAACGCAGCTGTCCCCCCGCCCGGAGTTGCACTGCCCTCGTCCCTCTCCGCTCCTTACCTGCTTTGCAGCGTCCCCCACCCTCCGTCCGCTTCCCAATCTGAATGCCGCCTTCCTACAGCAGGCGTCGTTCAGTTGCTATGATCAACAGTTGCTATTAAAGACTGGCAGTTGCGAGAGCCAATAAGCATTCGACGGGCTTAACCCGCCCCTCCTGGAGGAAAGAGCCATTGGACGCTTCTACAAACGACGCTGGGAAACCTCGAGAGGACTACAACTCCCAGCATGCACTTGCTTTGGCCTTCTCGCAGCCACAGGTGGAAAGAGGAGAGGGAATTGTAGTTTTCTTTTTGCGCAGGCTTTGGGGTGCGATTCATTGGAGCTCGTTGTTGGCGCTTCCTTTGAAGTACCAAACGTCCACTTTTCAGCTTGCAGTTCTTTTTTTTCTATCCTTGAAACGTTTGTATTTTATTTTCAATTTTATTTCGAAAGATAAAACGTGCTGAGCCATTGGGAAAGCAAGAGAAGGCGGCTGGATCACTGCAGCAAAATATGCCTTCGCGTCTGTGGCTGACTTGCTCATCTAATAACTTTCAAGAGCTTAATTATACTTGAGCCTTATTTGGATTACATCAGCGGAGATACAGTCAAAGGAAGCTATTCAGAGTAGCTCTCCCCTAGCAAGAGCTTGCTCCCTATAATTGTAACTTTGTGACCGAAAAGGAGATTTCATTAAAGATTCAGGAACTAAACTTGCATGCAGTTTTCGTTCCTGAATTTGGGAGGCAGAGAGAACGAGGAACGACTGACTCAATTGCTGTTACATAAAATGTTTTCACAAAGACTGTACATCTTTTGAAAAAAACACATATCTCCAGACATCTTTATAACACCAATGTATTTCCAGAGACTTTTTAATAACAAAAACAAATTCCAAGGTGCCCAGGTTGATACTTATTTTGGGTTATATTTCTAATCTTATCATTTGGTCACCATCTTTTAAAACAGTGGCTATGACGAATAAAATGAATAAATCTCAACATCTTGGTACCAGTGAGACTGATCTTGAATTTCTAAGTTGATTGTAATGGGTAATGCAATAACCTACAGCAAAAAAAGAGATTTACATTAAAAGTTTCCCTAAAGCTATACTGCATTGATACATTAATTACGAAGTAACGGTAATGCCAATACAGACTGTGTAGAGAGCCTTCCCTTCACTATTCAATAACTCTAACCACATCCGAATTTCCTGTGTAGAAAGCAAGAACTACAGGACGTTTTGTGTACTTATCCATCTTGTGCTTAATTTCTAAACTACAAAGTGTAGAGGTTTCAGTCCTCTTGAAACCACACCTTCTGCCCTGTGGAATTCTTGTCCCAATCCCTTGGATTCCTCTGGGATTTTAATAATTACGAGGTGGAAATATACTGCGCATTATGAGCTTAACAATAAATCTGGCCATGGTGGGACAGCAGCTGTAGGTGAGATAACTAAAGCTGAATAGAGGTCATAAGAATCATTGTGTGTAGAAGAAGAAGAGTTTGGATTGGATATCCTGCTTTATCACTACCCGAAGGAGTCTCAAAGTGGCTAACATTCTCCTTTCCCTTCCTCCCCCACAACAAACACTCTGTGAGGTGAGTGGGGCTGAGAGACTTCAGAGAAATGTGACTGGCCCAAGGTCACCCAGCAGCTGCATGTGGAGGAGCGGAGAAGCGAACCTGGTTCACCAGATTACGAGTCTACTGCTCTTAACCACTACACCACACTGGCTCTCACACTGTACATGAGGAGACAGGATTTGGATGCTCCCAAGTTTGCTACTTTGGAGTGCTTCTGGGTCTGCAGGTGTGCCTGGAAGTAGCTCACATGGCAGTGATGGCCAGATATGCATTCCATAGCCCATATCCTATGAGAAAAGTGTGTAATGCTATCCAGTCATAATCTAAAACCTGGGGTTTATGTGGCCATAAACTAGAGGCTTGACTGCTTTAATGCAGAACACGAGGGGATGCCCTTGATAACTTGATATGGAAGCTCCTTAGCTATAATGTTTCATTCACAGAACTGCAGAGTTGGAAGGGACCCTGAGGATCATCTGACTCTAGTCTAATCCCCTGCAATGCAATTGTCCCATATGGGGATTGAACCTGAAACCTTGGCGTTATTAGCACCACTCCAACCGAGCTATCCAGGCAGTGTAATGGCCTGCCACCTCACCCAGACAGGTCACAGGGGACACTATGCCTTTGTTCCAGCATGTGACCACCTATTACCCCCTGGCACCGTTCAAGAAGGGGCAGATCTTGGTCTATTAGGCACTATGTATACCACAGATACTGCCTTCCCTCATTTCTTCCACCACTAGAGTGTCCTTATGACATCAGTACAACAAGTTCAAACAGCAAAAGGGATTTAGAAAGTTATTTTTAGCTGAACAACCATTGTGGCACTCCCTTCTCCCAGAGGTCTATTATTAAAGTGTTGACTCTCGATACTTGCTGGAAGTACCTTTTAATTAGTCTACAATAGTAAATGCAGCTCACATTCTGCCAGGATGGGTGTATTCCTAGGGTGCTATAAATTTCCTCTTTCCCACCCACCTGTCCGCTCTTCCTCAGTAGCATGTTGGACGCCTTCCGACCTGAGGGGCTCATCTTCCAGTGTCATAACTTTTATATGCCTGTTGTCTTTGTCCATGGAGTTTTCTTGGCAGGGATACTGGAGTGGCTTGCCGGTTCCTCCTCCAGGTGGATCAAGTTTGGTCAAAACTCTCCACTATGACCTGTCCCTCTTGGGTGGCCCTGCACGGCATAGCTCATAGCTTCTCTGAGTTATTCAAGCCCCTTCGCCACGACAAGGCGGTGATCCAGGAAGGAGTCGTAGGAGCCTACATACACAACACAAAACACTTGGAAATGTACATCCAGTTTCTTCCCTTAATTTTTTTGGGGGGTTATACGTAAATTTCGCACTGGGCAATGCCCATTAACTTTGGGGGAACCAGAGCCTTCAAATATTTGTGTGTGTGTGTGTCTCAACTTGGACCTCTGCTGCTGCTGCTGCTGCTGTAGGGAGGTAAGTAGGGCGGCATTTCTGGTCTAGTTTGTGCTCACACTGGCTATCTTCCCCTGCGGGAGGCGGAGGCCCAAGCTGCTGCTGCTGCTGCTGCAGGAGCGCACTTCGCCAGTCACGTGGCGCGTCCTCCTCCTGCGCCGCCTTCGCCGCCGCAGTTCCTGCGCCCGGGCAGCTTCGCCGGCACCAGCTCGGAGTGAGGGGCCGCCCTCCCGCCTCCTGCTGAGGAGGACGCTCCCCTCCTCCTCCTCCGCGGCAGCAGGGATGAAAGCGGACTCCCCTTGAGGCGCCGGCCGCCTCCTCCTCCTCCTGGCGATGCGCGCGCCCTTCCCGGGCAGGTAGGGCAGGTGAGCGAGCGGCGGTGGCGCGTTGCCCTCTCCGCGGGCATCAGGTGTCGCTTTGCGCCCGGGCGCGAGGAGGTCTCTCTCTCTCTCTCTCTCTCTCTCTCTCTCTCTCGGCGTCCCTGGTGGTGTCGTGTTCAGCCGGCGGCGTCCGTAAGCGCTTGGGGCCGCCTCAATGAGTAAGTCGCCCGGAGAGGCTAGTTCACGGATGGGGGGAGCGCATGGAAGGGAGAGGCGCGGTAGGCTCAGGCGCCCCAATGCGCTGCTTCTCTCGCCGTCCCTCCAAAGGTCAGTCCGGGCGCTCCTGCTTTCTCTCCGAGGCAAGGAAAGGCTCTCCTCCTGGTTGAAGATCCCGCGGAGGTCATATAACCGGGGTGGGGGCAGGGAGAGGAGACAGACCTTCCCCCCTCCGTTTTGTGGCCCTTCTTCAAAGATGCTGGATTTTGGAGCTGAGCATCAGACAGGCAGGTGGACGCGCACAAGGATGATTATTTTCTTTAAATGAATCTCTTTCCCATGATCAGTTGGTATATCGAAATGGATGCTTTCCTTGAGATTCCTGCATTGCAGTGGGTTGGACTAGATGACCCTTGGGGTCCCTTCCAATTCTATGAAATGGAAGGTGCTTACTAGGGTGCCGCCAGGGATCCTTGCTTCTCTTCTCCAGTGCTTCGGAGGGAACTCATTGGTAGAGGGAAAGGCACTTTGTGCATGTTCAGAGGCATAGCCTGCTTGGTCAGATTTTCAGGGTTGAGGGGTGGCACTGTAAATAGATGGAGCTGCAACTTTTAACTGGTTAATATATTGGATTCAGCATCTTGCAATTGACTGAAAGGAGATCCCTATTAAATGGACAATTAAAAGTGAAAGTTAAGTATCAATTTGTTTTATTCATGGATTTTGGATAATTTATACCCAGGCTTTTTTCCTTGTTTCAAAACTATTCTTTAGTCATGTAAGCTTATGCAGATTTAATTACATTTCTGATCAAAACCAATTCGATTCATCCGTACAATGACTTATACTTGAAAGTTTGACTGCAATCCTGACCACACTTACCGGGGAATATGCCCCATTCATTTCCTTGCTTCCTTCCTAAGAGAGGCTGGGATGGTGAAGAGGAAGTCAACAGAAACATGCTTGTTGTCTCCACCTACAATCTCTAGATCAGTAGATGTGGGACTTTGATATGGGTATATCCAGTAACCTTGCAGAAATGTGAGTAATCATTCCGAATGCCTGATGATTTTACCCATGTGGCCATGACAAAGTTTCTCGTTCAAACGGCAACACAAAATGTGGAAACTTTGGACATGAAAATGTTCCTGATCAGTGCATTTGGCAATTTTAATTGCAGTCATTTATGGATACATTAGGGACGCTGTGTGATGCTCCTGTTAGCTAGCAATTTTTTTCATGTATCCATGCTACGTATCTTGTCATGCTCTCAGCCGTGAAAAACAGAACATCAACTCCTGTGTAAATGTGTGCCACTCTTGCAATGCCCTTGTTTCCATCAATTGGTGTGTGAGGGAGACAAGAGAGTTGACATACGTTGGCACTTATCAGCTGCATAGCCAGCCTTGTGGGTTTTTTCAAGCCCAGATTGCATGTTAACATATTTTTAAAGAGCTAAATTACGGACTTCTATCTAGTGCAGAAATTTGCTGCATTTGTCCGTAGTTACGGACCCTGGTTTGGCAAAAAGTGAATCAAAGTCACTACTTTGTAGATTAGCAGCTGCTATCTCACATGTGCAGGATTTTCTTCTTCCAAAAATTGAGCTGTTTTTGTTTTCTATAATGGCAATTACAGTAACCCTATACATGTCTACTGAGAAGTAAGTACTGTTGGGTTTAATGGAACATACTCTCTCAGGTAAATGTGTATAGAATTGCAGCCTAAATGACCCAAAGAGATCAGGTCAGCGTTTTGTGATGTTTTTCACAACTTGATTATATGTATGTTTACTTGAAAGTTAAGGCCCCTAGTGGGAATACTTCCCCGCTGAAAGCCGTCATCCAATGTGCATTTCCTTTGGGAAAAGCACCATCAGATTTACTTCTAAGCATACGTTCGGATTGAACTATACCTGTTCTTAAATGAATGCACTGCACCCTGCTTGTAGGCTCTTGGCATATTTTGGTCACTGCTGCAGGTAAAACGCTAAATAATTCACATACCATTTGCAAGAGATAGGGGCAAGAGAACTAGAAGCAATGTCATCGGTCAAGCTGTAAGCACTTCTACGGCATTTGTGTAACAAGTAGAGCAAAGGGGATGTTCTCCATTGGCCAGATGTAATCTACTTTCTGGGGACCTCAAATCTAAAGCAGCTGCACAGTTGCAACTAAGACTTCCAAGTACCTTCCTTCCCTTTACTACAGGGTTGGGGAACCTGTGCCCATCCAGAAATTGCTGGACGGAAACTTTCTTCATCCCTGACTACAGGCCACCCTAGCCTTAACAATATCCGGAAGGCACCAGGCTTCCTATTTGACAGCCTCATTGCTGGTCACAGAAATAAGTTAGTATTTAAAACTCAGGGGTAAAGAGAGGCTTTCCCTTTACTTTCCTCACCTTTAACGAATCTGCATTCTGCAAATAATTATCTTGATACCGATTTGTATTTAGTGAAAGCGAGGTTTCCCAAACTTGGGTCTCCAGTTGTTTTTGGACTACAGTTCCCATCATCCCCGACCACTGTTCCTGTTAGCTAGAGATGATGGCATTTGTAGTCCAAAAACAGCTGGAGACCCACGTTTGGGAAACCCCGAGTGAAAGGATGGGGAACCTGAGGCTTCCAGATGTTGCTGGACTACAACTCCCAGCATTCCCTAATGATTGTCTATGCTGGCTGAAGTTGATGGAAACTGGAGCACAACAAATGCCTGGAGAACCGCAGGGTTGCTGATTTAGTCAATCCATATCTTGGAATTGTATGTTGGTAAAAAATAAAGAACACTTTGATCTGATGACCCATATTACAAGAAATACAGATAAGTTCCAATTAAGAATTTATATGCAAGGGTGTATTTTTTTGCATAGCTTTTTATTTTTTAAGAAATCTGTCTTCTATTGTATCCAAACTCTAGTAGGAAAACCAGAAAAAAATCAAGATGTGGAAATACTGCGTTTATGGAAAATGCCTCCATTGCTCATCTCTAAAAATAGTGCTTTCTGTGAGTGAAGCATGGGAACTGTGTGTGAATTAGTTTTTCTGTACTATTACTAATTCACCCTTCCCTGCTGTGCTTAGTTGATGACCTAATAAGCCTGATCATATGGGTTGTCTGGTCCTTGGGATGAGTGTATATATCTGGTTTCTGTTTTACACCCTACACATCTGGGCTGTAAACTGCCACTCCTAAGGGCAGTGGTTCTCAAAGTGGTTCTTTCTTCTCTGGGGCACAGTTTCAGAACAAAAAAATTGCTCGTGCCACACCAAATCTTTCTATTGATAAGAAATACTTTGGAAAACAAAAAGAAACCAACTCCTGGCAGTGTTTGATGTATAACATAGAAAACAACTACTTTATAATATGATCATGGGACATCCGGAAACTATAAAAACAATGCAGCTACATAAGAACATGGGACCATTCCCAAAATATAATTATAAACGAGCCTCTTACATATGTACCTTATGTACGTATTCAAACCGAATGAGAGAGGCATGAGCTTGCTTTTGCTGGGTAATCTCATTTATATTAGGTCTAATTTGAGACAAGCAAACTCTCATCTCCTCATCAACACAAAGAAGGCTTTCTCTCTTCTGATTTTTCACATTTATCAAGAGTTGAAAATCTCTGTTCACAACAACATGTTGTGGAGAACTGCAGCAGAATAGCTAATGCTAACGAGGATTATCCTCAATATCATTTGATGTTCTCGCTCTCATATTGAAAATGTATCTGTCCAGATTCTTCAAATTAAAAAATAAAATAAAATTCTGATACGATGCTACACCAAAATGTTTAAAAGTTTCTTTGATGGTCCTTGAATCTTCCTGCCACACCATCCTCACCTGCCTCCTTTGAGAACCACTGCCTCAGGCGGTTGGGCCAGATGAACCTCAAAGGTCCCTCCCAACTCTATGATTGTCTGATTCCTTCATGGAGATGATAGTCCAGTTCATATAGCAGAGATGCTCCTAACCACAAGTATAATATTTTCTGTTAGTCATTCTGAGCTTGCTAATGTCTCTTTGGTTTAATCACTGGGTTGCACGTTCCAGCAATGGAAAACGATGAAGTGGTGGTTGTAAGCAGCTGCAGTTCCCATGATGATGAAAACGTCTACAGCTACAAGAGGCGCCCTTCAATGTGTCAGGAGTTGCTTCTGGAAGATCAGCTGAGAAGGAAACTTAAATTTTTCTTCATGAACCCCTGTGAAAAATTCTGGGCCAGGGGAAGGAAGCCTTGGAAACTTGGGATACAACTTCTGAAAATTGCCATGGTTACTATCCAGGTGAGAGACAATGGGAAAGCTGCAAGTTGCCTTTTAGAAATCCCCAAAACCATCTTATGTTGCTTGGACGTGACTGCAAGAGGCTATTGATACTGAATTGAGATACTCGTTTGAGAAATACATTTCCGGAACTACTTTTAATACTAATGGAAAATGTCAAAACTTGAAATAAAAGGGAAATGGCTTCAGTGTTTCACATTATGAAAGTTTGGGAGAAAAATAATCTCCTCTGATATTGGAGGACCGATAAACACCCAGCTATGCCACTAAGCAAAGTGAGAGGTGGGAGCTACCCCCAGTTGTTCTTTCGGAGCCCTCTAGATCAGGGTTTCCCAAACTTGGGTCTCCAGCTGCTTTTGGACTACAATGCCCATCATCCCTAGCTAGCAGGACCAGTGGTCACTGATGATGGGAAGTGTAGTCCAAAAGCAGATGGAGACCCAAGTTTGAAAAACCCTGCTCTAGATATTTCCTTTTGTTGTCACATGACCTGCCCTGGGGCTCCTAATCTGGCATGCTGCGTAAAGCATGGTGGACAGTATACAACTATACACCATACATTTCCCCCTCACAGAATCCTAGGGACTGTATCTTCAGAGAGATACGATTCCCAGCACCCTCAACAAACTGCAGTTCTCAGGATTCTTTGGGGGAAGCCATGTGCTTTAAAATATATGGCGTGTACGTAGCCTGTATTGTCACCAATGGTTATTTTTTGGGTTGCAAAATTGACCCCTCCACAACAGTGTTGGGAGTAAAATCCAACCTCCAGGCCAGTCAGCTTCTGCACATGGAGAGGGGAGGGGGTGTCATACTGTCCTTCGTCTCAGGCTGCAAAGCGCCTTCAGCTGACATATATTTAGAGTCAGTTTTATAGCCATTGCACTGTCTTCACCTTTGCAGATCCCAGATAATAAGCTCTATGTGCAAATAGAGAGTGAGAGATGGGAAGGTTAAATTTGCAGGAAATCCACTGCTTGCCTTCAAGGCCCAACAACGGATTGGAACCAGGGAGGGATACACCCAGTAAACGGAGAATATACTCCTACCTTACCAACTTTTTCTTTGCCAAATCATATTAAGAACCGAAGAGAATAATAAGGTTGCATTTCTGAACTCAGCCCTTATAAGTTTATGGTAAAGGTAAAGGTAAAGGGATCCCTGACTATTAGGTCCAGTCACGGATGATTCTAGGGTTGCGGCGCTCATCTTGCTTTATTGGCCAAGGGAGCCGGCGTACAGCTTCCGGGTCATGAGGCCAGCATGATTAAGCCGCTTCTGGCAAACCAGAGCAGCGCACGGAAACGCCGTTTACCTTCCTGCCGGAGTGGTCCCTATTTATCTACTTGCACTTTGACGTACTTTCAAACTGCTAGGTTGGCAGGAGCAGAGACTGAGCAACGGGAGCTCACCCCGTCGTGGGGATTTGAACCGCCGACCTTCTGATCGGCAAGCCCTAGGCTCTGTAGTTTAACCCACAGCGCCACCCGCATCCCAAGTTTATGGTAAAGTACCATAATTGTATTATTTTAGATGCCTGCTGAAAATGTTTTCGACGGGCCTATCCAGACACATCATTGGTTACCATATTTTTACCATATTTTTTGCTCTATAAGACTCACTTTTTCCCTCCTAAAAAGTAAGGGGAAATGTGTGTGTGTCTTATGGAGCGAATGCAGGCTGCACAGCTATCCCAGAAGCCAGAACAGCAAGAGGGATCGCTGCTTTTGCTGCGCAGTGATCCCTCGTTTTTCTGGCTTCTGAGATTCAGAATATATATTTTTCTTGTTTTCCTCCTCCAAAAACTAGGTGCGTCTTATGGTCTGGTGCGTCTTATAGAGCGAAAAATACGGTACATGTTTTATTGCGTTTCATTTTTTAAAAGGATGTTTTCCACTGTTTTAAAATACGTTTTTATTTTAAATTACAGGCGTGTGTTTGCTACCCTGGGATCTTCGGGACGAAGGGTGGGATATAAATTTGATAAATACAAATATGGTCTTAGCCATAGTTGTCCACGCAGCAGGGAAATGAGCTGTGTAGAAATGTGCAGCTTTTAACCAGCTGAAATTATTTGGAATATAAAAAACAACAACTATTGCTCTCTTTTCTTTCTTTTTCTATTTGGTGCGGTTGCCTTCAGCTGGTAGTGTTTGGGTTAAGCAACCAAATGGTAGTGGAATTTAAAGAGGAGAACACAGTGGCTTTTAAACATCTCTTCCTGAAAGGCTACACGGACAGACTGGATGACACCTATGCAGTTTATACGCAGATGGATGTCTATGATCAGATCTATTTCGCAATAAATCAGGTAACTTTACTTCCTACGAGCCATCTAGAAGCAATTTACAATACAATAAATATAGCAGCTGGGGTTATTCTACAAGGGTGCCGTTTTCCATGAAATTTAAAGCTAGCTTAAAAAAACCAAGCTACTACTCCATATTAAAGTCATTTGTGAGCATTAATTGCACAGAAAATGGGTAGTAGAACAAATCTGTTGTTTGAATTTTATGGTTTTTGTACTGGCCGCGACTAGGTGGAATGCTCTGTCACAAGAGACCAGGGCCCTGCAGGATTTGACATCTTTCCGCAGGGCCTGCAAGACAGAGCTGTTCCGCCTGGCCTTTGGTTTGGACTCAGTCTGACCCTTATGTTTCCCTCCCCTTATGGTTTTGATCTATGGGCTACTATTAAAATGAGGCTGCATTTTAAATTGTATTTTAACCCATATTTTAATAAATTGGTCCCCCCCCCTTATGTTTTTATTGTAATTTTACTGGTGTTAGCCGCCCTGAGCCCGGCTCTGGCCGGGGAGGGTGGGGTATAAATAAATAAAAATATTATTATTATTTATTTATTTCACCTTTCCCCCACCTTTTACTTGAAGGAGCTCAAGACTGACATAGTACAAGGTTCTTTTCATACATTACCCTCAAAACAAAACTGTGAGACAGGCTGGGTTGAGTGGCCCAAGGTCACCCAAGCTTTATAAATTAGAGATTTGAACCTGGGTCTCCCTGTTCCTTGTCCAACACTACACTGACTATACAGACTTTCTGTACAGACAGAATTGTACAACAAAATTATTCAACACAAAAGCTATTTTCAGGTGCTTCTGCAGGGAATGGGGAACTTGTTAGTCCTCCCCGTGTTCTTGGACTCTAGCTCCCTTCAGCTTCAGCCAGCAGAGCTTAATGGTCAGGGATGATGGGCGCTGGGAGCCCAGCAACATCTAGAGCGCCACAGGTTCCTCCATCTTTGTGCTGTTGTCTGACAAGGGAGACCTTTAGCCCTGCCCCAGAGCTGCATGACTCATTCAGCTTTTTGCTTTGTTTTCAGCAAAATCATGCAGAGGTGTATTGCACATTCCATAAAGAAGTAGGGACTCTCACCTAGTTTGCATGGTTACAGAGAGTGAGGCCAAAAGAATGTACCTGCAGATCTGCCGTACCAGTGTTCACTCCTCAAGGGATAATGGCTAAAAAGGACTTGGTCAGCTGTATGGTGTAGGGCAGATAATGGCTGATCCGTGGTCCCTGAAAAACATATTGCACAAGGCTTCTCAGGTGCTGACAGTCAGATGAATGTCTATGCATTGCAGAATGTTTTGCCCCTCAGAGTTTGATTTCAAACCATGCAGGCTAAAAATGGGCCACGTGATGCCAGGTGACTGGCCCCACCCACCTGTTAAGCTTAGTTCATGGATGGGTGTGTCAAGATGATGGAACCCGCCTGCCAGATTGATCCAGTCCCCCACCTCTGGCTTAGGTGAAGAAGTCTACTTGAGCCCAAATCTGGGACATGTACTTGTTTTGATAGCAGCTTGAAAACCATTTTCTCACCTCAACATTTGGGAGCTAAGATGTGGAACCTGCTTCCGTCCTTGTCTGGCTACCTACCCATTTGGCAAGGCTAACAATATAAGGATTTCCTCGTAACCCATCTTGTTTCCAAGTGGCCCAAGAGTCTGTACTGCCTGAGGCAGAGTAGCAAACGCTGCCAATCCAGGTGCAGAATACATAAGGCCAGTCAAGTTATTTTGGCTCTTGAGGCAACCCACCCCCAAAGTGCTCCTCCTTGTTTCTGGCTGTAAAAATCCAAGAATTATTAAATACCTAACCATTTCCTGGCCTTTCAAGAAACCCAAACCAGCTGTCTGTGGCGATCACTTCATCCTGCCTAATGATAGGGCCGGCTCTGTAGTATTTCTGCAGGGTCACAGGCAGGCTAACCCCTGTTATTTGTCTTCAGCGTCTGAGCATAGTAATAGTTAATAGATAACATCATCCTCACGAGCCAAACTTAATTCCCAAATCAGAATTCCAGAAACTCCTTCCCACTGATAAACTACCATAGTTCAAGAGCCTGTAGATACAGTCTCATTCAAATTGGTGCATGCCTTAGTGTGGTTTTTGTGAGGACAATTGTAGTCACTTGCTGGTTTTCAACTATTTGGGTTTCTCTTGTGAAACTCCCCATGAAAAATCCTTAAGGGGCAAAGAAACTGCTCATCTTTGTCCTAATTGCTTGTTCTTCCCTAATTTATGGGAAGCAGGCAAATAGAAGCTCAATAAAATGCAGATTCCGATCTCGACTTTGTCCATACAAATTTAACTAAACCCAGCGAAACCAAACATAGCTCAGAGAACAACACTAAATTTATCTATGTAGATTTAATCATTTATCTGGATGCCCTCAGATGCTCCCTTGACCTTACAAGAGGATGGCCTATTTCTAGAAATCAGAAGTTTACAAAATGAATAAACACCAAAGACAATAGAAAATATTATTTTGTAATTACAGTTACAAAAACCTAATGCAGCCAATAACATAAAATGCATTCAAAGCTGCACATTTAAAATTAAACATTAAAAGCATGTTGAAACGAAGGTATTTTAAATAATATTTCCAGAGAGGTGATCTGTGCTGGTCTGCTGCAGCAACACCAACAAAGAGTCTTGTGGCACCTCAATGTTATTGTGGCATAAGCTTTTGTAGACTTAGACTCCAGTTCATCAGATCCATGTGCCTAAAAACCAAGAGAGGGGACCAGAATATCTCCAAAGGGAGGACGGTCCACACACATTTGGAACCACCACTGGGATGATCCTGCCTCTGGTAGCTGCTTATCTGATATTGTGCATCAACAGGATGGAGAGAGAGTCATCTAAGCTTTCTCTTGATTGTCAGGCAGGTTCATATGGGTTCATTAACCATCTGTCAGTTTTGGGTTAGTATTTACAGCTGCGTACCATATCTGTTGGAAATCACGCCTACGAGAAGAGAGGAGCTGAAGAGACACCTATGGCCATATGCCAATACTTCTACAAGCGAGGAACCATCTGTCCTGGAAATGACACTTTTGATATTGATCCAGAAATCGAAACTGGTAATATATATTTTTATTACTCAAGTCTTGTGTTTGAGAGAGAGAAGGGGGTGGCGGGGAGAGGTCAATTTCCTGTCATCACTCATATGCAATACCAACTCTTACTCTTGAGGTTTGTACACACACCATCTCATTCTAGAATCAATGGAGACTTAAGTACTTGGTTTCCTCCCACCTATACTGTATAGCCCACATACATAATCTAGATCCATTGTGTTGCTGTTTTCCCCTGGTTTTTATTTATTTATTGAGAAACTGGTGTTCATTCTGAAATAAGAGCCCATTTCACATTGATTCAGCATTACTCCACATTTGAAACACAGATGTCGGCAGTCCTGACGCTGAGGGGCTTATCCTTAACTGCCCAATGAAGTTGTGGGTGGCTATATACCAAGATCACAACCACCACTTCCTTCTTCCTTCTCCTGGGGCCCGGTGCAGGGAGAAAAAGTTACACGGTGGGTAACTTAATCAAAGGGAGAGCTTCCCAATGCATGTCAAATCAAACATGCCTACCCTTGTGGACAGCAGGATCTTCCCAAACCTGGGTTTCCAGCTGCTTTTGGACTACAGTTCCCATCATCCCTGACCACTGGTCTTGCTAGCTAAGGAGGATGGGATTTGTAGTCACAAAACAGCTGGGGACCCAAGTTTGGGAAACACTGTTCTAGACTCTTCTTTGCCTTGTGAGATGCTGAGTACTTCCCACAAAATCTGTCTTGTCTTTTCCTCACAGAATGCTTTTATGTGGAACCCATGCTGCCTTTGGAAAACAAGACACTGGGGAAGAACGTTTTCAACTTCACTCTAGACTTCCATAGGTGAGGCGGGAGTCCTCAGTGGCTGGTGCGCTCGCATGTTGTTGTTGGTAATGGTGAAATAAAATCCCCAAACTCTTCTTCTAGACTCGTGACTCTGCAGCTCACTTTCAAACTGAAGGCTATCAATCTCCAGACGGTTCGTCATCACGAACTACCAGATTGCTATGATTTCACTCTGACGGTAAGTACAGGCTTCAGGTTCAAATGTTCCCATTTGCTGTACGGCCCCAGCCAGTTTTTCCAAAGGGCGGGTTGGAGAAGGGGTGATGTGAACCCAGGAGCCCATCAAAGCCTCAAGAAGAAGATGTGCGAGGCAGAAAGGGCCTAGCAAATCATGGGGCTGAAGCTATCCATTGCAAGGGGCACCAGATGTGGCAGGGATCATTTCTGATATTTTAACATCAATAGTTTGGTTCACCATTTGCAAATACTTATTAAACAATGTTAAAGCATATGGAACATAGGTAAAGTGAACTCCAGGGATATCCAGTTTATGAAGTATAAATTCATGTTTCTTTTTCCATTACAACTTGGATTTTGCCGGTGGAGGATATGGAGGATGAGACATGTACAAAGTGATAACAGCCATGGGAGATGTTGAGGAGTTGAGGAGATGTGCAGAGTACCAAAGCCCCATTTTCCTTGAGGCAGTTCAGCCATTTTGACTTCAAAGATTTCATCAGTGTGCTAAGGGCATCCTTGCAGAAGTGCTGGGGAGGGGGGACCACTTATATGTTGGGTCCTGGCAGGCCAACCTGGTGGTGTTGGGCAGCAGCACTCCAATCAGTGCTAGCCAATGAGCTGCTATTTTAATTGCTCCCACTATCCCTGAGCTGAGTTTTTGCCAAGGCACGGTGGGAAATTAAAATGGTGGCTTCCAAGCCTAGTTGCCTGGTGCCAAGTGAAGCACAGAAGAGATTTTTGAAAAAGAAGATTCCGGGTCAATCATCCGTTGTGGGCATTGCCAGCTGCCCAAGGATTCCAGGCGCCAACTCCAGGCCTGTTTTCAAGAATATAATTTTGGCTGTCATGGTGCAGCAGTTATAGCTAAACCAGGAATAGCCAAGGTGGCACTCTCCAGACGTGGTCCATCTCCCATCATTTCCGACCATTAGCCGTGTTAGCTGGGGCCAACAGGAGCTATAATCAAACAGCATCTGACAGACACCAGGTGTTCTTTCTTTTCAGCAAACAATTGGGAATCGTAAGACGTTTCAATCTGATGCGTCTTGCTAGAAGAATGTTTGTCAGATCCTGTCTGTCTTAATGGCTCGTCAGTGTGATATATGACTTCAGAGCTTTCTCTCTAAATAGATAACTGCTTTCTTGTCTCTGACCCCACAGATAGTCTTTGATAACAAAGCACACAGTGGAAGAATCAAAATTAGCCTAGACAATGATATTGCCATCAAAGAATGTAAAGACTGGCATGTTTCTGGATCACGTAAGTAAAAACCTCACATTCAAGGTTTTTTGTCTCATCTTCTTTGCATCTAATGTCCAGGTCTTTAAAAAAATGCAAATTCAATCAGTGCAACAAGTGGGAGAGGATCAGCTTTGACTGTTTCCTTGAAGGTTTCATATTCATGAGCATGTTCCCTCAAGTTTGCTGAAAACTTTGACTAGTAGAATTGCTTGGCCAGCCCAAATTGCACCATGATCCAAATATTAACGAAAAATAGAAACGTCATCTCCATTGAGGACAAGTCTCCTAATCGGAAATAGACTTCTCACTTTCTCTTCCAGTACAGAAGAACACGCACTACATGATGATCTTTGACGCCTTTGTTATATTGACATGCCTAGCATCCCTGGTTCTCTGCACACGATCTGTGATTAAAGGAGTTCGTCTGCAGAGGGTGAGTTTAGGGTTTGCCAGACGGCACTTCCCAGTGTATTGTCGTTTGCAGCTTCTCATATAATACAATTCCTCCCCTTTTTTCTCTATGTCTCTGTCCCCTCTCTCAGGAATTTGTAACTTTCTTCCAACAACACTATAAGAAAGAAGTCTCTTTCACGGATCAGATGGAATTTGTGAATGGCTGGTATATCATGATCATAGTTAGTGATGTTCTAACCCTAATTGGTTCCACGCTGAAGATGGAGATACAGGCTAAGGTAGGTAGCAGGCTTGTATGCTGAACAGGCAACAAATGTTTCCTCTGCTCTTCAACTGGCCTTTAGTATCTTGGCATCCTCGGTTAGCAGCAATCCTATACATGTCAGTTCAGAAATAAGTCTTAAGTTCAATGGGGCATACTCCCAGCTTTGTAGGTCTAGGGATTGCTGCCTAAATATTTTTTGCCTGCTTTTCTCCCCATTCATGTTGTGATGATAAAGATGCTGCTGGATCAGGACCCATCAAGACCAGCATCCTGTTCTTACATTGAGGCTGACCAGATGCCTGTACAAAACCCATAAGTGGGATTGGGGCAGAGCGTTATTCTCCCCTCCTGCTGATTCTAGCAAATGGTATTCAAAAGCATTGCTGCTTCTATAACTATGGAGGCAGACATCATAGCAAGTAGCCATTGATAGCCCTCTCCTCCATGAATTTGTCTCATCCATTTTTAAAGCCATCCAACTTGGAGGCCATTGCTGGCTCCTGTAAGAGCGAGTTCCATAGTTTAATGTATGAAGTGGGAGCCGGAAGCATCTCTGGGCACGTGGAGGAATATCGTCAGTTGTGCATATATATTAAATAAATGTTCTAATACACACCACTTTCCAAATACTAATTTCATCTAAAACAGGGTTTCCCAAACTTGGGTCTCCAGCTGTTTTTGGACTACAGTTTCCATCATCCCTGACCACTGGTCCTGCTTGCTAGGGATGATGGGAGTTGTAGTCCAAAAAACAGCTGGGAAACCCTGATCTAGAAGCAGCTCTACTCATCTCTCCGGTGCACCTTGAGTCTCTGGAGGCTCCTTGTTCACCTGGGTCATAGTGACACCCCTCAGAAAAAGAATGGCCTTACCTGTCTGCTATTGCTGCAAAAGTAGTTGATGTTTCCCCCTGATTTTTGTCTGGCAGATCTGGGGTGCCTCCTGTCTTAAAGGGAATAGAGAGGGTTTTATTTAGGACAGCTTGTACAAAATGCAGTCCACATATCTTATCAAATGCTACATCTCACCAAGACAGGTGTTTGATAAGGAGGCAGGTTGTGATCCAGATCTACCTTGCTCCCATCCTCCCAATCACCACCATAATGCTACTAAGATTCAATGCTATTATACCTAATCTGGGTAGTTATACTAAACAGCTAATAACGTTCCAAAATTCTGTTTCGTACAGAGTCTAACCAGCTACGATGTCTGCAGCATCCTCTTGGGAACCTCCACCATGCTCGTGTGGCTTGGAGTGATTCGCTACCTAGGCTTCTTTCAGAAGTACAATGTAAGGATTACCTAGGACCTGTTGCTATCTAGCTGTACTGAATGCAGGGCTGAAGTCTGATTGGCAATACTGGATTGTTTTGCTTTTTGTTTTGTTTTCTGCAGCTGCTTATTTTGACACTACGTGCGGCTTTGCCCAACGTCATCCGATTTTGCTGTTGTGCTGCTATGATTTATCTGGGCTATTGTTTCTGCGGCTGGATTGTGCTGGGCCCATATCACGTCAAGGTATTGCAATGTAGGGTTTTTTGTTTGTTTGTTTAAGCCTTGCATATAAATTTATTTAGCTCCTTCTGCCCCATAAAAAACCATAGCTACTGAGGGAGATGAAAAAGTCACTCGTGGATTTTATTTAGGGCAGTAGTTTCCAAAGCTTTCTGTGCAGAAGAAGAATCGCATTCAGCTTGTGTAACAAGATTTCACTGTCCGCTCCTCTCCCCTACAGCCTTGTGTGCAGCCTCAGAATCTGCTGTGAAGAGTTGGAGGACTCTCTGTAACATATTTTGGAGGCACACCGGAAAAGGAGAGGAGTTTTGTTACATGAATGGCAGTCTGCACAAAATTAGATTATGCCCACAACACCCAGTTTACCTCTGATTGGGACTCCAATTTTGCCTGTCCATTCCTATGTATGGCCCTGTATACGGAGATAGTATTTAAGTACTGTCCAAATGATCTACTATAGTGGTACCTCGGGTTAAGAACTTATTTCGTTCTGGAGGTCCGTTCTTAACCTGAGGTACCACTTTAGCTAATGGGGCCTCCTGCTGTCGCCGCACCACCACCACCACCGTGCGATTTCTGTTCTCATCCTGAAGCAAAATTCTTAACTTGAGGTACTATTTCTGGGTTAGTGGAGTCTGTAACCTGAAGCGTCTGTAACCCGAGCTACCACTGTATTTATACTGTACACTATGTGTGGCAGGGACACCCCCCCCAATAAGGTATATAACATGTTTGTTTGAACTTGCTTCACTGATCTGTCAAAAACAAACACCTATCTTTTTTGTTTCGTTCTGGTTCCTCACTTCCAGTTCCGTTCCTTGAACATGGTTTCCGAGTGTCTCTTTTCGTTGATAAATGGAGACGACATGTTTGCTACTTTTGCAAAGATGCAGCAGAAAAGCTACTTGGTTTGGCTGTTCAGTCGGATCTACCTCTACTCTTTCATTAGCCTTTTTATCTACATGGTTCTGAGTCTCTTCATTGCCCTTATTACAGACACCTACGAAACAGTTAAGGTATGTGTGAACCTTTCCAGAGTGATGCATGCTCCAGCTTGGACTACTGCAATGCGCTCTATGTGGGGCTACCTTTGAAAGTGACTCGGAAACTACAATTAATCCAGAATGTAGCAGCTAGACTGGTGACAGGGAGCGGCCATATAACACTAGTCCTGAAAGACCTACATTGGCTCCCAGTAGGTTTCCGAGCACAATTCAGAGTGTTGGTGCTGACCTTTAAAGCCCTAAACAACCTCAGCCCAGTATACTTGAAGGAGCATCTCCACCCGCATCGTTCTGCCCGGACGCTGAGGTCCAGCTTCAAAGGCCTTCTGGCAGTTCCCTCACTGCGAGAAGTGAAGCTACAGGGAACCAGGCAAAGGGCCTTCTCGGTAGTAGCGCCCACCCTGTGGAATGCCCTCCCACCGGATGTCAAGGAAATAAACAACTATCTGACTTTTAGAAGACATCTGAAGGCAGCCCTGTTTAGGGAAGTTTTTAATGTTTGATGTTTTATCATGTTTTTAATATGCTGTTGGGAGCCACCAAGAGTGGCTGGGGAAACCCAGTCAGATGGCTGGGGTATAAATAAACATTTATTTATTTATTTATTTATTTATTTATTTTATTATTTATTTTATTATTTCCTTGTAGGGAACCAATGTTAATGTTTTTCTCCCACTCCCCAGTTATTAAGAAACTTCTCCCTTAATTGGATTGGGGTGCACTGCTACAGAGTGGGTCAGCCCTGGGGACAACTGCTGCAATCTGGCTGCTTGAGCCAAAACATCTTGTTTCAGCAAAAAGATTGCAGCTGGTCTCTTGTGGAAGGAAGGAGCCCCATTCTTTTCCTCTTTAGGCTCTAGGTTTGAAGGGAAGTAGATGGCAGGCAAAGGGATGCGGGTGGCGCTGTGGGTTAAACCACAGAGCCTAGGGCTTGCCAATCAGAAGGTCGGTGGTTCGAATCCCCATGGCAGGGTGAGCTCCCGTTGCTCGGTCTCAGCTCCTGCCAACCTAGCAGTTCGAAAGCACGTCAAAGTGCAAGTAGATAAATAGGTACCTCCGGCGGGAAGGTAAACGGTGTTTCCGTGTGCTGCTCTGGTTCGCCAGAAGTGGCTTAGTCATGCTGGCCCTGTGACCCAGAAGCTGTACACCAGCTCCCTTGGCCAATAAAGTGAGATGAGCACCGCAACCCCAGCATTGTCCGTGACTGGACCTAATAGTCAGGGGTCCCTTTACCTTTACCTTAGATTGCAGGCCACCTGCTTCACTTAAGACTCCTCTAACTCTTTATCAGCTGAGAATTTGTATTTCTTTTCTTTATTAATTAAACTTGCCATTTAAAAATGTAAATACTTAAATACAAATCCTCATCTGCTAGCATTGGAGTTGAGAAAGAAAAAGAGAAGCCGTAGAAGAAAACACCAACTTACATAAAGCAGTCAAAGGCCACCAAATAAATCAGCCTCAGTTTAAACATATATGTTGCTATATATGCCATCCAAACGACCCAATAGATATCCAAATGAATTCGATGTTTATAGGGAATACATTCCAATGCAACAATTGCAGTGAGGTACTTGGAGAATTGCTTAGTAGATTTTGGGTTTCCCAAACGCTTCAAGTCTTAAATCCCAGCAACGACAAGGTTTTGCTAAATACACTTTTGTTGTCCTGCTGTTGCTTCCCATACCACGGGAATATAATTTAAAAGTACGTGGACATTGCAAATATCTAGGATTTCTCCAGGACAAAATCAATGCCAACAGTAACTTCAGACCCAAAGGAAAATATCGCTGGACACACCTGCATCATATGCAATGCATTTTCAGCATTACATCTCCAGCATCTATCTGCATCAGACGTTGCCTCCCTATAAAGAAAGACCTTGGAATCTGCAGCTGAAAATTAGTACTGACAGATTTTTTAAGGCAAGCATTAAGGCACTGTGCATGTGCTGCCCTAATCTCTAGCCTCTTTTGGGAGTTTTGTGGGGAGGTGGGAAAGCATTAGCAAGAATACGATTTTCCTTCATACTTTGAAGATTCGTCTCCCATGGATTTGAAGAAAGTGCATTTCGCATGTTTACATGACAGGTATATAAAAATGTTTTATAATAAAATAAACCACTTTATCCTCCCCTAGCCCAATTTTTCTACCCAGCAAGTCCACCCACAGCACTCCAAACCCCCCTTTTAAAAAAAACAACAGGTGAAATGGTATGCTGAATAACAATTAAAATTACATCTCTCCATTGATTTGCGTACAGTGGTTTGTTTGAGATTCCGCGCATTGATGCTAACAACAACACTTTTCTTTTTTAAAAGCACTACCAGCAAGAAGGCTTTCCAGAGACAGAGCTCCGTGCATTCGTAGCACAGTGCAAAGATCTACCAAACTCTGGGAGGTACAGGTTAGAAGACGAAGGCCCTGTAACAATCTTCTGCTGCTGTAAAAGGTTAGCAACTAAATGCAAACCCACGTGGAGAGTTGTTTCCAGAAAATATCACTGCTAGCTTGTGCTCTCTGCTCCACCCCGACTAGGCAAAACTGAACTGGTTGCTACAGTTTCCAGTTTGGCAGCTGCCAGATTACAGAACTGAAGTTTATACAGGCAACTCCCACTTACGTTCCGGGGCCCCACACACATAAATGAACCTGCGTGAAATGGGGAGCACCCTCTAAAAGCCCTCCCTGCCGCTCTCTCTTCAATCCATAAAAATACTGTATCCAAAAATATCCACAACTAGAATTGAAGCTCTGGTGTCAGCAGGAGGCTGGGGGGCTTGCAGGAAAACAGCTTCTGCTGCTGCACTCCCTTGCATGCCAGCTGCTAGGCGGGGAGGCTAAGCAGTGTAAACAAAGCCCCACTGTGCTGTCTGTCTTTTCATAGCTTCCTCCACCCACACTGATGTGGGCTCTGGGGAGGGTGTCTTTGTGAGCCACAAGGACTTTCACACTCTCTCCTACCATTTCTGGGTATGAATTGAATTATTTCCCAGTGCCGCGTGTATGCGTGGTCATGCACGAGTCAAACATATGGAGGTGGGGGGGGGAGTGCCTGTATTACTCTATACTCCAAAATAAGCATTGACCCACTCTGTATTATACACCTTCTGCAAGATGCACTTGGTTCTGTTTTGGGACTACAGCTCCCATCATCCCTGACCACTGAGTCCTGTTAGCTAGGGATGATGGGAGTTGTAGTCTCCAAACATCAGGCCTATGCCTGAACTATTGCATTTGCCTGATATGCTATTAAATGTGATACCCCCTCCAGGGCAGATTTAGTGTAGCTATAAGGGCCTGGGGATTTAAAAACCATCCAGAAATGTGCTTTGGGCAGCTCCAAATGACACCAGGTTTAGCTAGAAATGCATAACACATGCTCCATAATCATTTATACCTATATTCACACAGATTTGCATTGAAGCAGCATATCTGAAAGTAGCAAAAAATTAACCATTGGGCAGGATAGGATTCTCTGGAAAGCGAAAGGCTCCCACTTGCATCAGTGTATGCAGGCCTGGAATGAGGTATGGGGGTGTGAATGGGGAAATGTGCCCTGAGTGGCAGGTTGCCCTCCCCCAGTGCTGGTCAATAGTTCAAGGATGTTGGGAGTTACAGCACAACAACATTTCACTCCTCACCCCCATTTCAAAGGCAACTGGGGCTGCCAACAAACAGGGCAGCAAATCGCCCTGCCTGCTTCATGTTCTTTGAATATCTCTGGGCCTGTGTGGGGCCAAGAGGCATCCAGGGGGAAACAAAGGGGAAAGGGCGTGCTGCTGGAAATCTGAGCTTTCTAGCAAGGTAAAGGTAAAGTTAAAGGTAAAGGGACCCCTGACCATTGGGTCCAGTCATGGATGACTCTGGGATTGTGCGCTCATCTCGCTTTATTGGCCGAGGGAGCCAGTGTACAGCTTCCGGGTCATGTGGCCATCATGACTAAGCCGCTTCTGGCGAACCAGAGCAGCACACGGAAATGCCGTTTACCTTCCCGCCGGACTGGTACCTATTTATCTACTTGCACTTTTTGGGGTGCTTTCGAACTACTAGGTTGGCAGGAGCAGGGACCGAACAACGGGAGCTCACCCCGTCGTGGGGGTTTGAACCGCCGACCTTCTGATCGGCAAGTCCTAGGCTCTGTGGTTTAACCCACAGCGCCACCCGCGTCCCTTCCAGCAAGGTCGCCTGAGGTAAATTTTTTAAAATCCAAAAATTGGGATTGGCAGGTATCAAAAGAAAGGAGTGGGGGGTACCACATTGATGACCGCAAACCTAAGGCATGTTCATGAGGGATCCAGACGATGCATTAAGAAGAAAAATGTTGTGGGAAGGGTTTTAATGCAGGGCCATAACAATGGGCCACAGTATGTACCACTGCACTCTTTTGGCAGGAACTAGAAATATGATCTTGCCTGTAAAATGCAGTACACATAATGTCTTTCGCACAAAACAAGAAGTATTGCTTCATGAAACCAAATGATACAGTGTTTTGAGCACATCAAGCTCAGCCAAAACTGCTTACATGCACAATCAATTCAATTATCAGACATGCAGTACAACCCTACAGCAAGTTTACTTAGAAATAAATATTGAGTTCACGGAGACTTTATTTCCAGGTAACTATGCTATAGTTTTAGTTGTTCCATTAGTTGTGTTCCAAGGAACTAATCTTGATTTCACCCCCCCCCCTTTCAAGGTCTTAATGAGAATAGCAAGAATTCTTGAATATATTCGGAGATTCCTGGACGGCGCTCTCATTACAGATACTTAACTGAACCATCAAAGAGAAAATTCCTGTACACAAGGCACGAAACACCCACGAAGGTCCTTGCAAGATTAGCTAACTTTAATTACTTCCTACTGCATTTATTAGAACTTCAGCAAAAATCAAAGCAGAATTGCCTGGGTTTAGAAGCATTGTTGAATATAGGTATATTACTATCATAGTCCTACAGGCACCATGTGTGAATACTGTCCACTAATGATTAAGGACACTAGGTGTTTTTCAAAACTGCTTTGTTTGTTTTAGTTCTGTGTACACATCTGCATTACAAGTTGAGGCAGTGGCCTTCTTGATGCTGCCAATGGGTCAGGGCCAAAGTGAGGGTGCAGAGAATATCAAAACTTGTAAAAACCTAATGGGCTTCAGGAGGGCCTTTTTTTCAGAGGGAACTCACAGGAACTCAGTTCCTGCACCTCTCAGCTGGGTGCTGTTGCCATTCTGTGAGAACGAGGGAGGTGTTCATGGTGAGTTCTGGCACCTCTTTTTCTAGAAAAATAGCACTGGGCTTCGGTCTGATAAAAACCTCTTTGAAAAGTACCCAATATTTAGATGTAGCTCAGCGTCTTAGTGCATTAAACAAGAAGTTGCTTGGATGTGTTGAATGGAAAGACTCTAGGCCAGAGGTAGCCACCATGGTGATCTCCGGATGAACTAGACCTCCAACCATCCCCGACCCATGTTTGCTGCCATCCCCAGCTACGCTTGCTGGGGCTGACGAGAGGGCGACATACTGGCTTTTTCTGCCCCAGACAAAGAAGCATAATTATGGTAAATAAGAAAATATATTTAAAAGAATTAAGAGTTCACATGGTATTAAAAGTGAAAAAATCATGCTAAAAATATAACTGCAAAGCACAAGAATTACAATTCAATGTTTTCTCTACACTTGGTCTATGGCACTGTGTGACCCAGCAGGTCTGTGTGTGTGTGCGTGTGTGCAGAAAATAGTTCTCTATTTAATGCATCTGCAAATTTGGTGTCCCAAGCATGTGCTGTTTCAGACAACAGAGCAGAAAAAACTGCTCCACGATGGACAGCCTGGGTATTATCCAGCCTATAGAAAGTTCTGTGTTAGGTACAAAAAAGCTCTCCCCTTTAAATATTCTAATATCAGTGGAAACTGCTGTAGTCCTTGGCTAGACAGAAAAGATTAAACCAATGACAGTGAGAACTAGCAAACTAGGTTGGCAAGGCAGAGTATTATACACTCCACGAGAAATCATGCAGATAGAATTTGCCTCCTTTTATGGCAGGCCTGGAGAACATGTGGCCCTTCAGTTATAGTCCTGCAACATCTGGAGGGCTACAGGTCCCTAATCTCTGCTGGTAGATGCCCCAGTGGAGGGTCCCACTCACAGGAAGGAGGCAGTTCCTCTCAAACACCTAGCACTTAGCAGGAACGGTAGCTGGAAAATGGGATTTCCATCCTTCTGAAAAAGGAGTTTGGTCAACTTAGTTGATGAAACCGCATAAAAATCTTTCTAATTTGCTACACACATGTTCAGGTTTCTTCAGTGTGGTGTAAACAAAGTCTTAGTGGCTGGTGTTCTCTGCCATTATTTTGATTTAAGTGGACAAAGAGACCAGGATTGACACTCGCTGGAAAGAAGGAGGGACATTCCTGTGTTTCACATCCATTAACACGAAACAAGGTGGTCAGAGATGTGAACACTAAGTAATGGAAAGCCCTAACGCATTCCATTGCAAATGTAGTGTAATTTTTCATGCCTTTATATTAAACAAGTGCAGACTATTTGCAATAACATAAGAGTGGGCAAGCACATAGAACTACTCTAAATATAGCTCTTAAAACAATTCTGCAACTTGTGTTAGATGTTAGAACTGCTAAACACTGGTCCAAAACCCTTATGTGGAACCCGACTTTTATAGATGCCTTATTTGCTAAATTATATTTACTGAGAAAGCAAATGTGAAAAAATAAAGGAAATCTATTTTTAGACTTTTAAATGTTTCAGATGTAAAAGCAACAATCATGACAGAGTACTACTGAATGAGCAGAAAACTTTTTATGTACTGTGTACAAACTTTGGAAAACATTATGTGTTGTTTGTTCACATTTTATAGGATGCTATGGTTAAGTATTTAACTTGAACGTTAATTAATATTGACACTGAGAATAAATTTTTGTTCAACCTGCAACTTTCTCCTTGCTTCTTTCTTGTATTTTGGAAAATATTTATCGTTGCGGTTTGGCTGAAATGGATCTACCCAAGTTTGTAGAGAATGGTAAAAGAAAGCGGAATCATAAAACTGCAGGGTTGCATTATTACAAAGAAGATTAGCTCCACCTCCCACTAAAATCCTTTATGCCTACCATCCAGATTGCAGCCCACCAAAAGAAAGCAGCAACAGTGAACAAAAACAATTGTTTCTATTTTTAATGTCACTGTGCACCAGAATTTCTTTATTTGGGGGCAAGTCCAGAAAAAAACATTTTTCTGTTTCAAGCATCCTGGCACCTAGCCTCTGGAATTTCTTCCAGCAGAATATTAGGCAGCCGCCTTCTCTGTTGTCTTTTTGGTGCCTCCTGATGACCTTCCTCCTTTGACTAGATTTTTAAGGCTATAGAACTTTTATCTTATCACTAAGTAAGCAGAGCTGCCTCTATTGGTTGGAATGAAGGAACAAGACTTCAAAGTCATGTCTTCCAGGCAAGCTTAAGCCTCCTCACGTATCACTTAACCACTGCCAATTTTAGGGTTGTTTTCACCCACTTTCTGACAAAGTAAAAAAAGATGTGCCTTTTTCTACCATGAAAAGTGGCACCTGCTGAATCCTGCTTGTCATAGAAGTCTTACAGAGTGAGAAGGTATCTTACAGGTTATTTACTCCAACTAAGACCTTGAGAATGGAAGGAAATGCCTTACTCAGGCATTACAAAGAGGCAACATGAACTCATGCTAACTTCCTGTATGTTCTGGGGCAAGTTAGTCCTTTCTACTCTTGTAGGCACCACACACAATTTCAAACCCTGTTCAAGGAATTAAATGCAGCACCTCTATTTGTTTGCCCCCATGCATTCTACTTTCAAGCAGAAATGCTCTGTTAGCCTATCATGGCTATTAGCTGTTGACAGACCATCATTTGTGCTTTTTGTTTTGTTTTTTAAATATTTTTATTATTATTAAAGATTTCTTAGTTTACAAAAATACGTGCATTGTCTCTTTTTTCAAGTTGTGTTTTCTACAGATCAGTTTCATTTGTTTTGAGACATTAGTGTTGCATACATTGTTAGGTTAGGTCCCGTTTCACACATACACAGCCCAACAAGACAACAAGAAGAATCGGCCGGCACCATACAAATCAATCCGGCTAACCAAAAGCACACACATACATACCCCACTCACACAAAAACAAATCTCACTGCAGCCAACCAAAGACAACCAACCACACCCTAGGATACCCCCCAACCTCTCTTACCACCAGGAAATACAACAAGCGAATGGTAAGAGAACCCACACAAGTGACGCTGACTCAAAACCCTACACATACATACACTAAGCAAAAGAATAGAAGCATTGCCACAGACCATCATTTGTGGGATCCATCTGGAAATCCATTGCAATCACATCTTCTGTCATTTGAGTTCCGTGATGAATTATCCATCATACTGCAGCATCTTAGAAGAGGCATTCAGCCTGGCTTTTCATAAAATAGCACTTGCCATGTGCAGTTTTTAGATGCAGCTGTATTTTGTTGTTGTTTAGTCATTTAGTCGTGTCCGACGCATCGTGACCCCATGGACCAGAGCACGCCAGGCATTTCTGTTTTCCACTGCCTCCCGCAGTTTCGTCAAATTCATTTGAGAACATTGTCCAACCATCTTGTCCCACAGCAGCTGTATTACGGATACCTAATCAGAGAAAGGTCACGGCTCTTTAATTCCTGGCATCTCCAGGTAGGAGGACTGGGAAAGATCCCCTATTCGAAATCCTGGAGAAGCGCTGCCAGTCAGTGTAGACAATGTTAGGATCGTCCTACTCTCATGTAGGACCCTGGCAGAGACACATGCCCGACTGGCATGTTCTCTCCCTCCTGGTCAGTCTTTTGGGAGCTTCAAGAGCATTCTCCAACCTGAACATCACAGCGACTGATACCAAGAAGCATCAGCACACTTAGGGATCCGCAGAGTATCCGCAGTTTGCGTAACAACTCAGTAGCTCAGCATTTTGGCTAATCTACTTTGTTGTTGTTTAGTCGTTTAGTCGTGTCCGACTCTTCGTGACCCCATGGACCAGAGCACGCCAGGCACTCCTGTCTTCCACCGCCTCCCGCAGTTTGGTCAGGCTCATGTTTGTAGCTTCAAGAACACTATCCAACCATCTCATCCTCTGTCGCCCCCTTCTCCTTGTGCCCTCAATCTTTCCCAACATCAGGGTCTTTTCCAGGGAGTCTTCTCTTCTCATGAGGTGGCCAAAGTATTGGAGCCTCAACTTCACGATCTGTCCTTCCAGTGAGCACTCAGGGCTGATTTCCTTAAGAATGGATGCGTTTGATCTTCTTGCAGTCCATGGGACTCTCAAGAGTCTCCTCCAGCACCATAATTCAAAAGCATCAATTCTTCGGCGATCAGCCTTCTTTATGGTCCAGCTCTCACTTCCATACATCACTACTGGGAAAACCATGGCTTTAACTATACGGACCTTTGTAAATCTACTTTATTTACATATAATATACTCTGAGCATTCTGACTTAGCTCCTTCCTCTTTCTCATCAGACAGCAAAGAGAGAAAGAACAAAAGACAATAGTCCCACTTCATGGAACACAGCAACACAAAATATCCTGTCTCCTAACAGACAATACAAATTAATCAAAATTATATATATTATATATATATATACACACACACACACACACACACACACATATATATAAACAGATTAACTTAATTAACCATTGCATTCACAAAAATTATTTTTTAGTTCACACACACACACACACACACGACTTTAAAAACACGCTGTGATTTCTACAAAGTATGCATAAGACAGTTGCCTGACAGGCCAATGTTATGCTCTGTTTTGGGCCTTTAGGTATTTTCAGGGTTTACCAAACTTGGGTTGCCAGCTGTTTTGGGACTACAATTCCTATCATTCCTGACTACTGGTCCTGCTAGCTAGGGATGATGAGAGTTGTAGTCCAAAAACAGTTGAAGACCTACATTTGGGAAACTCTGCTTAGACCTGTTTCGTTGGTGCCAGGAGCCACGGGTGTAGACAGGATTTATGCAAGCGGGCCATGACTTCAGTTATGCTTTTTAAATTGATTTTCTTAATGTAGCTGCATCTATGGCAGGAGTGGACAGTTTAAGCACATGGATCTTTTTTTTTTTTTTTATCTCTGCAATTTAAAAGTCTTCAAGTCCTGGGCCCAAGGAAGAATGCAAAAGTCTTGTTGTCGGAGACAGAAGATCCATCTACCAGTCAGTCCAGCAAGCTCCCACATAGGCTGCAAGACAGTAGTCCTCTCCCTCCCACTATGGCAAACCCCATTAAACCAAATGGGAATTGATTCGAGATGTGCCCTCAGGACATTTTAGACTCTGCCTTCTGAAATGGCCTTATGAGGTGTTAAGTTGTGGGTGAACATATCAGACGACACAGCGATTCTTCAAACACCTCTTGTTTATTCACAGGCCAGAACTGAACTGAACTGAAGGGTTCAGCCAGCCTGCTTATATAGAGCTCCACTACAACGCAACTGTAACAACTTTCTGTAACTATCCAATCACTGAACGTCACTTTCAATCCCTTATCTGCATATGTGGACCTGAGTGAAAACTATCTACAGTATCCCCCTGCTGGCCCAGGGTGAGAACTTCAGTACATAACATGGGGGCTCCCTTCCAAACAGTTAAGGTGCATTAGTTCGCAAAATGTGCTAAGCTGCGTTCAAACAGGGAGTGGGCAAAGTTGATGGGCATTCCCATTCAAAAGGTGTGCACGCGCTGTGTCTGTGATCATCATGCAGCGTGGGGCTTACCTGACACCCCCCCCTTTATTCCAGTTGGCGCCCCTGCGCGCCTAGGTCGGGCCAAGACCCAGTGGGGATCCCTCCTTTCTCCCTCTCACCTGCGAAAAGGCCTCCCGCCCCGTCGAGGGAAGCCCAAGCCGGCGTCTCGCCCACAGCTGACCGCAGCAGCTCCTCACCTTGGGCGGCGGCAGGGCGCCTTTAAAGCCGAATGGCGGAGCGTCCCCTCCGGCGCGCACGGAGCGGGTCCTCCGACGCTCCGAGCTCGCCCAAGCGCGCAGGCGGCGCGGGGCTGCGCGGCCGCCGAGGGCGCCGGCAGCTTTCGCTTTTCCGCGCTCCTTCCACGTGACGCCCTCGCCGGCCGGGCTCTTCCTCCGCGATGAGTCCCGCGCGGCTTACTGAGTACGTTGCCGCGGGCAGAGCCGCAGGAGGAGGCGCCCAGCCCCCGTCTCCGCGCGGCGGCATGTCGCTGGGCTACCTGCCCGCGGGGGTGACCAGGTGAGCGCAGAGCGGGCGCGGGGAGGTGGGCAGCCAGCGAGGAGCGCGGTTGGTTCGCGGAAACTACGCTCCTTGAAGCGGAGGGGCAGAGGCGGCAAGTTGGCCCCTTGAACTTGGCGGGGTTACTTCGGAGTAGACGTCGACAGGGCTGCGCTGTGATCTGTTCTCGCTTATTATTTTTAAACTGCAGGGCGCTGTCTCCCCATCCCCTCCAAATTGAAATCAAGAGTTCAGCAAATTGTTGGTCCATGGGGAGAGGGATTTTTTTAAAAAAAATGCAGTAGAATTTAGAAGTGCAAGGACAGCTAATAAATAAACCTAATAAAGGTTTGGTGCTATGGTACCCTTTTTCAAGTTAGCTAACTTTAATATACTATTTCAACTGGAACAGTTCTGCAACTTGTGCTTTCATCTATTTCACAATCAAAATCCTCCCATTTATTAATTTCTAGGGTTTAGAGGGGTCTCCCCCAAATCTATAACAATACCCAGATGTTGATTTTAGTGTCTTGGGGTTATTCAGAATGAGCGTGTTTTGGGGTTATTCAGAACAAGTGTGCCAAACTTCACCTGGTGTTTCAATAATAGAATTTTCTTCTTCTTCTTCTTTGGTGATCACTCGTAGCCGAGTAAGATTGTCTTCCATAAACATGGTTTTAACAATGAGTCCGTAAGTGACTGTGGAGGCCAATTCTGGATCCACACGTCCTTCCATAGTGGGGACATTGGTTTCCAGGCGGGAGTTGATCACGGTGTGGATTTGCCAAGCGTGCCTTCCTCCTAGCATGTTTCTCCCTTGCATCCTGAGTTTGAGTGTCTTCAAAGTCCATCACACCTTTGGTAAAGGCTCTTCTCCAGTTGGAGTGCTCGCAGGCCAGTGTTTCCCAGTTGTCAGTGTTTATACTACATTTTTTTAGATTTGCCTTGAGACAGTCTTTAAACCTCTTTTGTTGACCACCAGCATTACGCTTTCCATGTGTTGGAAGGGACCACAAGGCTAATCTTGTCCAACTTCCTGCAATGCAGAAATCTTTCACTCAATGTGGGGCTCAAACCCGCGCCCTAAGATTAGCAGCCTATTGCTCTACTGACTGAGTTGGCTGTTGTTTTGGTGGTTGTTTTCCTGTTTTCTTCTTTAAAAAAAAAGTGACGCAGAGAGTATAGCAAACTTAAGCTACCTGCTTCAGAGATTTTGGCAGCCTTCCTGAAAGCTGGTAAATGAATGGTAACTTACCCGATTAAGCTGATGACATCTGGGTCTGGCCTGATAAGGCAGAAGAAGCAAGAGACCCACAAGGAGGCCTGTAAGATCTTGCTCCCATAGTTAAGACTTGGGCATTTATGTAACGCTTTACTGAAATACGGTAATTGCACCAAGTGATGTTACTCAAATAGGTGTCTTGCAAGTAGGTGAGAGTTGTAACAGGATCAGGACTGGAGTCACGAATGTAACATGTGAATGCTTCTGTTCAAACCTTTCAAATTATCCATCAGAAGACACAGTACCGTGATGCCACCGCAGATCTTTACTACAAGCCGTGAGTTGGCATCTTGGATAATTTCACATCTTTGAAACCGGTGGCTTTGGATGGGATGGGGTTGCCTCTGAAGCTAAGTGACGTGGGCATTACAAGATGAAAACTACACGGGAACCCACAGACTTTTCAAAACGGCTTTGGCTTATTCTGCAGTTGTCCGGCTGGTGTTTTGTGACATACCAAAACTCTGCTTGAGACTCCATCCATGCATATCTCCTGCCCAGAGCACCATGCAGACGGTGCTGTTCCTGTGCTCACAGCTCAGTGCTCTGCAACTAGCAGGGCAGAACTGAGTTAAGTACTTATTTAGGACTTTCCGGGAAGGCTGTGTTTGCTCTCACACCGGAGAATACAGTGGGTCTTTCAGTGTGATTATTTTTAGTCGTGAGATAGGTGGCAAGTTCTGGGTTTGTTTGGCTAATGCACAACCACAGAGACCTTTGGCTCTTCAATAATCCCTTTTACGGCAGCGGGATGTTTTTACAGCTTTGACGTTTGTGCAGCTTTACAGGGCTAGTTATAGCAAAAAGGTTAGAGGAAACAAAATTGTCTCGGCTGCTTTTCTGTTGGTAAGGTGTCAACAACATGCTGCGAGAACCCTTCCTCCCAGTGTCTTAGGGACCAAACTGTACCTTATGCAATTGTATGCAAGGAATTTTTTCACAGCCTGCTTTCTCCCCCCCCCCTTTTTTTTTGGTAAGCCTCAGATTTGGGAGTGACCAATGCACATGATTCTCAGTGGCGAAATAGGGAAAGCAGAATGACATTCCCCTTGTTCCTCTTTTCTTCTGCTCTTCCCCTATTGCACACCCTCAGAAGCATGGAATCTTGCAGGCAAGGGCTGGAAGTTGTCTTGGATTGGGAAATGGGTTGAAGCGTCCCTCCCCTTGTATATAATACGTAATTTGGACCTTAGCCCGTAGCTCAGATTGGTTATACTGAAGTTGCTTTGCAGAAAGAAGTCTGAAAAATCCTAAGAACAATTCAAGTCTTCTTACAAAGGTATCTAGGTTACAGAAGACTCCGGCTTATCTTGGGTTAATCTGATTTACTTTATGTTAATGTTTACTAGCTGCTATTTTTTAAAATGCCAGCAGAGATGTATAAGCAGGCTGACAAGGTGTGATGAAACAAACCTCCCCTTTGGAACCTGGGGCAATGTGCCTTTGTTCTCTTTAATGCAAAGACCTTATTCTTTAATGCTTTTCAATGATGGTATGGAGTATCCGTATGCACAATGTTAAGATGTGTTAAATTTAAATCCTCAACCTTTTGTTTATGGCAGAAGTATGATGACGCAGCTGGATATGGATTTTAAAGAAGAACAGTCCCTAAAAGAGGATTTAAAGTTCTACTTCATGAATCCATGTGATAAATATCGAGCTAGACGTCAGATACCATGGAAACTGGGACTTCAGATTTTGAAGATAGTTTTGGTTACTACCCAGGTAACTTTAAAAAATTTACTTGCACGGAATCGGATATTGTTTCTTCATGCCTAATGAATAAGTAAATGAACAGTCCTATCGGTGACTCCAGGTTGCTAATGTTTCTTTTGGATGGTATTCAGCTTAGTTTTAGTCAGATATGACCCATTTAAAATAAATGAACTCGGTTACATTAATTTCAGGGGTTCAACTCTCTGAGTATTCAAACTTGGTTGAATACTGTTCAGTGTAAATCATTTCTCTGCCTGCTATCCTTTCCTGTAATTGTCCTGCTGTGAAGCTGTCTTGCTACATTTGACTGATGATGATGAAGATGACCATGTGGCGATCATGATAATTTGTCTGTTTATGCATGTTTTTCTGTCTTCATTTACCTTCACTCTGCTGGAACTTTAGCCTTAGTTCCTGATAGTTCCTTGTGCTTTACGCCTGAAAGGTATTCCACATACAGGGATGGGTTTCTGCATTTGGGAGACCTTCAGCCTTGCACCTCCCTTATTATTGGAGTAACCTGTGTGTTGGATGCTGGGTAAGAATAAGCTGCTAGATGTTGCGAAGGATTGTCTTGATAGCCTTGCCTTGAAATGTACGGATGGCAAGCAGTGCCATGTGCTTGACAGCATGGGAGTGGCTCAGCACAGAATCAACCCAAGACAGAGCTATGCTAGTTTCTTAGAAGGCTCTGCACACTTTTGTAATCATGTGGGGTCAACAGAATTGCAGCTGTTATGTCCTGAGTTGAATAGATTCCAAAATGTAGCAGTCTGATTGGTCCTAGAACAATAGGATTCAGAATGCAGCAGTCTGATTGGTCCTGGAACAATAGGATTCAGAATGCAGCAGTCTGATTGGTCCTCAAACAATAGGATCCAGAATGCAGCAGTCTGATTGGTCCACAGGAGCCACCCAATCCAGCTCCAGGTGGAAGTGAATCTGCAACCTGATTGGCCTACGGGAGAATCCCAGAATTAGCCAATCACGTGGGGCCCATTGTGTAAATAATGTATGTAAAGCAGACATTCTGGGGGAACTTCCATTCCTCCTCACCACTATGAGCTGGATAAAGCGCATGAAATCCACTCTCGACTCCGAGTATATTTCAGCAGCCATGGAGAATATGTCTCGAAAACGCCAATGAGGAATTTGCAAAAAGCCATTCTTCTTCTTCTTCTTCCTCTTCCTCTTCCTCTTCCTCTTCCTCTTCCTCTTCCTCCTCCTCCTCCTCCTGCCATTAGGGAAGCAGAGCTCATGTATCCTACAAATACCCCTTTCTCCCCTTGTAGCTTCTCATTGTGGTTCTCTGTGCACCTCTGCCACACTTGAGTGTATTTATTGTCCTGGCACTTTCTCGGGGACATCAAACTTTCACAAAAGGCAAGAGGGTTCAGAGGTTTGTGCAACGTATTTATGTGAATATACAAGTGCCGAGTTTTGAGGTTAAAGGGTCATAGGAGCAGTTTGTCTAAGAACGTACTGAGTTTTAGTCTCGGAACAGTTTTGAGGGAAGCGTTCCGTACAGTGCTGACGTATCACTACAGTAATAAAATATTTCCTTTTTGCCTTCATGCTGGATTGCAGTATGCTGCTATGTAAGTATGAAGGATGAAGTTTATACCATACTTTGTGTTTCTCCACCTGGGGTCACTTTCTTGCAGCCTTGGTAGCTTTGTATTGCAAAAAGTGTTTTTTAATCTCTTGTGGTCAAGTGAATTGATTGCCCTGTTTTAGCATGTGCTGCTTGGAATTATAAACCTAGAGCTATAAAATGAATGCACATTCAGGCCACCTCTTAGACTTAAAAAAAAATATTAAAAAATTCTGCCTACCTGTCAGTTCTTGATTGGTAGGAGGCATTATGCTTCTGAATGCTAGTTACAGGAGGGGAGAGTGCTTTTGTGCGCAAGCCCTTCTTTCCAGTTTCTCACAGGCTGTCACTGTGCAAACAAGATACAGGATTAGATGGGCCATTGGTGTGATCCTGCAGGCTCTTATGTTCTCAAATACATTGTGATAATTTAAAAGTACTGTAATGCTAATTTTAGGAAAACAACTATAACAAGTCTGCTTCTTGTGGGATGTTCTGGTTTTTATTGCTTGCTACTGTCAGAAGATCGGTGGGGATTTGAAGATGGAAGAGAGGGGGAGAGAGAAAGAGATTATTAGAAGCTGCTGTACAAACCTGAGTTAATTTAGCTTGTGATGGCCACTGCGAAGAGCAGAAGTAGAATCAGTTCAGCTCCCCAACTGCTTTGCCCCGTGGTAGAGATGGATTCTCCCAAGTGCTTGGTTTATCTATTTAAGCTCTGCACAGATATTTAAGATCGCTGGGAGTATTCATCGGATACTTAAGCCTACATGACTACATTCAGAATTATTGAAGACTTAGTTATGGGAAAGCCTCTCTAGATTCACAAAACTTCCTCTCTGCTACTCTGAAGATGTTCGCTTCATGCTGGTCATGAAACATCAAAGAGAAGTCAACCAAGCATCTTTTTACCCTTATGAAAACTTTAAAAGGCCAGCAACTTTAAATGCCTAAAGCTGTTAAAAAACCACTTATTTCATTTAATACATGACACTGTGTGTACTCCTCATGTTCCTTCAGATCATTTCTAGATGATTCGGGGGCGGGGGGAGCCATAGCCCATGGTTTATGTTCATTAGAATCCAAGTACCGTATTTTTCGCTCCATAAGATGCACTTTTTTCCTCCTAAAAAGTAAGGGGAAATGTCTGTGTGTCTTATGGAGCGAATGCGTGGTCCCTGGAGCTGGATTGCCCAGGGGCAAAAAGCAGATCATGCCTCTTTTTTTTAGAAAGAGGGAAGGGGGTGTTGAAACAAAACCGCTGAGCAGCTGATTGGCAAGCGATCGGGAGGGATAAGTGACTCTAGAGATAAAGGAGGCTGCCTGGGAGGGGGGAAGTAAAAGCACATAGATCCTCAGGATTTTTGCACTGGCTCGCCCCAAATTCACCATCAGATCACATAGCATGTCCATGGCTACAGCCTGCATCAAAAAATCACGCATCCACTGTTTCGTGGGGCCGCAATGGCACAGATCCACATGGATTCTCAGGATTTTTGCATTGGGCTACCCCAAACTCACCGTCAAATCACATATCATGTCTGTGGCCACAGCATGAACCAGAAAAATCAGACATCCACTGTTTCGTTCAGATTTTTTTTTCTTGTTTTCCTCCTCTAAAAACTATGTGCATCTTATGGTCAGGTGCGTCTTATGGAGCGAAAAATACGGTACATTCCCCTGCTTTTCCAGTTTAAAAGATCTTTGACAGTCATGCTAGGCATGGCCTCTACCTGGAACTTTGTGGAGTGCTAATTGGATTTGTGTGGATGAGGGGAGAAAGGGAAGCATTTACAGTAGCTAACGGTAAAGACTTTACAGTAAGGTAAATACAGTTCTTCATAAATCGGTGCCCAATCTCTAACGGAAAGTCTTGACATTTTCCATGCCATAGCAAATAATATAGCAACTTAAGATGAGACGCAACATTTTTTTTTACAATATATGATAATGGGGATTGAGGTCAAGAAATGAATGACCTGATCGTATAATTCCCTCTGCATCAGATTGATCATGGTCAAATTCCTAAACAATGTGCCACAATCCAGGCTTGCTAAACCATAGTTTCTCTCAGTGGTAGAACCATAGTTTAGCTGTAAAACCATTGCATGTTTTCCCTTTCACATGTTTACTTTGTGTTCTGATCATGTCAGGGTTCTTAAGTGGGGAATCCTTGTTTTTACAAAGTCTGCTTACTCCCCAGGCTCTTAATTCAGGAGCAAATTAGTTTAATATCCTGGCTAGTAAATGCAGGACTGAATTGTTGATGTTGGTACATGAAATGACGCAGCAACTTTCAGGCCTGATGTTTGCTCCCACATTACTGAATCATGTTTTAGTGAGCCAGGGTTTGTGTTATGTATGACAGAATCTACCTCTTTCTTTCTTTCTTTTTTCATTTATGTAAAGCTCGTCCTTTTTGGTCTGAGTAACCAGTTGGTGGTTTCTTTCAAAGAAGAGAACACTATGGCTTTCAAGCACCTGTTTCTGAGAAACTACCCTGGCATTGATGAGGATGACTACAGCTGCAGTGTGTACACACAGCAAGATGCTTACGATAGCATACATTTTGTGGTCGATCAGGTAAGCATCCATCTTATGGCATCCACACACAGAGTTTAACATCATAGTTCACATTGTTTTAGATGTGCCAGTTTCTGGGTTGTAGCAACAACCACTTTCAAACCCATATTCATCAGCGAACAGGTACTCTTAGCATATCACTTGAAAATACGGTTTGGCCTTTACAGGTTTGCAGCCTTTCTGAAGAAGTGTTTTTGTTTTGTGTGTTTGCTTCTCAACTAGTACCGGCAACTGAAGAATATATCCCTGGGTACCCTTGGTTATGAGCAAGATGAAGATGACTTGCGAGGCTTAAAGATTTGTAAAGAAGAGTATAAGAAAGGCACAGTACTTTCCTCCAATGATACATTGCACATAGACAGCACAGTTGAAGAAGGTATGGTGCTAATGTTTTTTTTTCTCTGGGAGGAAATCGGTCTAACTTCATTAATGAAGGAGGAATTGTATTCCATTATATCTCCTGTTTCTGTACAGGTTTTGTACTCTTTTTGTACAGTTTAGCTGCCAATGCTTTTAAAAACAACGGATGTATGAAGGTGTAGAATCTTCAAGGCTTCCCATTACATCAGGGAACACATTTTATACTTTGAGGCTGTTTACAAGTGCTTTTATCATGTTGTTACTTCTTGTGAATGCTCCTATCTGTAAAAAAATATGCAGCTGTGGCGTCTCTCTGCCACAAGTCTTCCATTCCTAGATGTGATTACAGCACACAACAATTTACCAACCTGTAGAGAAGTTCCAGGTATTCCTGTGAATTTGCTTTTGCTTTCTTGTTTAGTCATTTAGTCGTGTCCGACTCTTCGTGACCCCATGGACCAGAGCATGCCAGGCACTCCTGTCTTCCACTGCCTTCCGCAGTTTGGTCAAACTCATGCTGGTAGCTTTGAGAACACTATCCAACCATCTCGTCCTCTGTCGTCCCCTTCTCCTTGTGCCCTCAATCTTTCCCAACATCAGGGTCTTTTCCAGGGAGTCTTCTCTTCTCATAAGGTGGCCAAAGTATTGGAGCCTCAGCTTCAGGATCTGTCCTTCCAGTGAGCACTCAGGGCTGATTTCCTTAAGAATGGATAGGTTTGATCTTCTTGCAGTCCATGGGACTCTCAAGAGTCTCCTCCAGCACCATAGATTTCTTTCTTTGGGGTTTATATTTGAACACATGCACTAAAACTTGCATGTGTCTTGATGGAGGTGCCAGTATAAAATCAAGAGCTACAGTATACTTCTGTGAGTCCGTGCATATGACCGTTCTGCCCCCAATGTATATTAAAACTCCTTACCATTGTGGCACACTAATACAGATGAACAAATTCTTGGAGCAGTTTCACTGTCTGCATGGACTCGCTTTATATAGAGACAGAGCCTATTGTTCCTCATTGCTAATTTGGTGGGAATTAGACATGCATAGGCTATGGGCTGCATGGATAGAGAAGTAGCGTGCTATTTACATGCAGAAGATGACACAGACTGTTTTTGAGATTGCCATTGCATGGCGTTGCAAAGTGGGGTTAAACCCTAGGGTCAAAAAGGTTGCTGTTTTGCTGCATAATCCTCCATAGTCTTAATAGTCCTAAAATGAATTACTCCCAAGTAGATGTCTCTAGGATCACAGTTCTAGGTTCCTTGTGGTACAATTAGAAATGCATTTATGTCTTTTGGTTTTTCCTGTCACTTCCAGAATGCATTGTTGTGAAACCACACGACGAAACGGGCCACTTTAAGAATTCGTCTTTTTTCAACTTTGAGTTTTATAGGTAAAGTGCGGTTTGGGGACACCAGTTTTATTTGTGTTTCTAAAGAAGCGGGGAGAACCTAACATAATACAGTATCTTCTTGCACCCAGGCTGATACAAGTGATAATTTCATTCAAACTGAAAGGCATTGATCTACAAACCATCCATTCTCGTGAACTGCCTGACTGCTATGAGTTTGAAAATACTGTGAGTGCTGTTCTTGTTATTATACACATAGACAATGGGATCCTGTCTCTTAAATTACTTACGATGGGCTTCAGTTCCTTTTCAGTTCAATAGGCTCCCCGCCCCCACCTTGAAAAGTACATAGAGTTGAAGGAGGAAGTTGGTAGAGTGGCAGACTTCTACACTTCCTCTTTAGCTCCAAGTTTGGATCAGCAGAGAGTGGCCAGAAGGACAGGAGCATAGCTGTCAACTTTTCCCTTTTTTAAAGGGAATTTCCCTTATTCTGAATAGGATTCCTCGCAAGAAAAGGGAAAAGTTGACAGCTATGGACAGGAGGTAAAGGGGAGCAATATGGAACACTGAAAAAGGAGATGGGTGGTAGGAATTTGAATTCCAGAAGAATCAGGGTGGGGCGAGGGAAAGAAAGAACATGCACACACTGGATCCAATGAAACATCTGTAACATAAAGTGCATAATTCCCCCACCCCACACATCTCCCTTAGCCACTGTCAAATCACAGGTTGCAATTGTTTCCATTGACAGAACAGTAAAAATCACTGATATTTACACCAACCTTGTGATATAACATTGGATGAGAACACTTCTGCCCATTTCTCATTGTAAATATTGTCGCATTCAATTTTAGTCCTTATTCCAAATGCATATTTGCCATAATTGGGCACAGAGTGTCTTAAAGGTTCTGTCTGTATTTTTCATATGTCAGGAGTGCTCTGATGGTGTTTCCTGCTTGGCAGGGGGTTGGACTCGGTGGCCCTTGTGGTCTATTCCAACTCTATGATTCTATGATTTCTATTACACCTGTTAAGAAAATGAACAACTTTTAGCTTTATGCCAGCATCCTCAGTGTTTTCGAAAGGGACCCTATTAGACATGTACAAAAAAAATATATTATTTTATTTTGTAATGCCACTTCAAAAAATAAAAATAAAAATAGCACATGTGGTGTTTTCCAGAGCTGCCAAAGTGTGTGTGTGTAATGTGTATGTATGAATGAATGAATGAATGACATGGATCGTTACAGATCACCATACTATTTACAAGGGTTGCCATCACATTTATAGATCACGTGCCCACAGATGTGTTCTGTGCCTTGTTGTTACCCTCATGGATCCTCAATTTTTTTCTTTTTACATAGTATATGTGCCTTGGATCAATGCTTATGTGCCATTGGCAAGCATTGGATGTGCAATTAAAAAAAAAAATACTGCACAGTCTTTAAATTGGATGGTAGTTCTTTGGAGACACCATGTGAAATCATGTTTGTTTAAAAAAGATCCCAGTTCAATTCTTACTTCTATCCAGACCCCTTGGGAAAGCAGTGTGGCAGTGTGTGTGTTACATGTATGATCTGCCTTGTTTGGTGGACAGGAGGTCTAACCTAGCATCCAATTTATAGTTCCCAATCTGCAGGGTATTAATGGCTGGTTCTGTCTTCCGGCCACAGTACGTTTGGGACAACATGATTGTCAGGCCTTTGGAAGGTGTGTGCCAGTCTGTGTGTTTGCACACGAAGTATATTTAAAATTTTCAGATGTGTAAAAGCTGATATGTGTGAGCAGGGCCTTTTTTTCCAGAAGCTCCGTTCCGACACATCTCAAGTGGGCGCCATTGCCCTTCTAAGAGAACAAGGGAGAAGTTCATGGTGAGCTCCGGCACCTCTTTTTCTGGAAAAAAAGCGCACTGTTTGTGAGTAATGCACACCGATGCTGTATTGCTTCAAGCAAGTAAATTAAAAACAACAACATTTATCTCAACAGATTACTTTTAACAATAAAGCCCACAGTGGTAAAATGAAAATATTTTTTGATACGGATGCTGATATTGAAGAATGTAAAGACTGGAACATAACTGGCTCTAGTAAGTATCTCTGTGTGAGAGAACTATATCCATGTTCGAAGATGAGCACAAAGAAGCCTGGGATTTTCGTGTGTGTCTCGCTGATGAGTTGGCGAAGGGGCTGGTGGCACTGTGGCAATTTGCAGAGCTAACTCTCTTGCAAGTAGCAGTTTCTACACAGGGCTAGGCTTGTTCAGCCACATTGTGCTGCAGCTAGCAAAGGTGATCCTGCTAGCCTGTCTGTGCCAGTGGGGCATATGGAGTTAGTTTGCTATGCAAGTATGCTCTCAAAGACTGTATTAGCCCAGCAATGGTCTGCTAATCCGAAACATCTTTTGTAGTGAAGTTGGTTTGATTGTTCCGAAAGCAAAATGCACCACCTCTTACCTGGACAGCAGATCATAATTACTATTTTTTACCTTGAAAACTATGTGAAATTAAAAAAAGCTGGTGGTGGTAGAGCGACCTGTTTAAAATTCTGGGTCTGTAATGGGAATATACCCTGCAGAGGCTTAGTCCTTGCTGGGTCTACAAACCTAAGCTTGCTCTGATACCTCTGTCTTATGCTTTTGGCTACAGAAGCATCAGCCCTGACCATCTGAAATTGAGGGAGTGCGGTAGAGGGGGAGGCGTTAAAAGAATATTTTGTTTGGATGCAGGTTGCAAACAGGGTGGATCATGATTTAAATCACTAGTCAGTAAGACTTGATTTAAATCACTTGCAGAAAGACTTATTCTTGCTGGTATAATCTTAATATTTACAACCAGGTGAAGGTTTCGTTTTTGGAATAATAAATTTTCAGAGTAGTTTTTACAGTTATATAAAAAATTACTGATTTGGTTATACTATTAGAAATACATAGACAGATAATTATGAAATTATTGTGTGGTTTAATAAGTTAACTGTTTATATTTGGACAACTTTTCTGTTGTACAGTGGTACCTCGGGTTACAGACGCTTCAGGTTGTTTGTTTTCAGGTTGCGCACCGTGCCGAACCCGGAACTACCTGAACAGGTTACTTCTGGGTTTCGGCGCTCACGCATGCACAGAAAAGCTAAATCGTGCTTTGTGAATGCGCAGAAGCGCCAAATTGCGACCTGCACATGCGCAGACGGGCGCTGCAGGTTGCTGACCTTGTGGCTTGCCAATGTGCCTCCTGCATGGATCACGTTCACGACCTGAGGTTCCACTGTACTATATTGGAAGGGGAAAATCAATAATTTCCTTAATAACAATTTTAACAATTTGTTTAACTAAAGCAATAACATTGTGGCATATGTATCCATGTTTGTTAACTGATGTGGTTAAACAATTTTTTTTAAAAAAAACTTACACAGAGTTTTAGCACACATGAAAAACAATTCTTATTTCCTGATAAATAGTTTTTGAACTACAGTCATACCTCGAGTTGAATGTGCTTCGGGTTGAGTGCCTTCAAGTTGCGCTCTGTGGCAACCCGGAAATATCGGAGTGCGTTACTTCCGGGGTTCGCCGCTCGCGCCTGCGCAGACGTTCAAAATGACGTCACATGCATGTGCGGAAGCGGCGAAACGCGACCCGTGCACGCGCAGATGTGCCGTCGCATCTTGCGTTCCAGTCGGGATGCGAACGGGGCTCCGGAACGGATCCCGTTCGCATCCCGTGGTACCACTGTATAATGTAACTTAAATAGAAAACTATCTTTAGAAAGATTTTCCCTCCAAAAGCATTTTATTTTAAAAACCCAATTTAAATTTTAAAAAATCCGATTTAAATAAAAAATACTGATTATTTTTTTTAAAAAATAAATCATTAATTTTTATCCACCCTTGTTGCAAATCAAAGTGTAGCTAGAGCTGAATACAAATACTTTTGCTTTTTGGAAGAGGTGGTCTACCTATAGATGTGCAATAAATTTTTCCTGTTCATTCTTTTGCTTCTCAGCCCTCTGCTTCATTTAAGACTTACTGAAAGAAAGGGGAATGTAATTTAGACTTTCTCTCTAAATTACTTGAGCAGCCCTATGCTGATTAAATTTTGCATTTTTTTAATCTCCTCTAATAGTTCAGAAAAACACACAGTATCTTTTGGTTTTTGATGGGGCCGTCATTGTCATCTGCATCGCTTCCCTTATCCTCTGCACACGATCCATCGTTCTGGCTCTAAAACTGCAAAAAGTAAGCATACCTTTGTCTTTGTGGTAGATGTGTGCTTGGCTTAAAAACAAACAAACAAAAACTATCCTAAAACAGGAAGGATGGGCTGAACCTTCTTGTAGCTTAGTCAGGAGTTCTCTATGGTGGCTTTACTATTGGCAATTTTGGATTTGTCTCTCAAGCAACATGAAGAATAAAGCTGTCATCCACTGTCAGAGGCACCATACCTTTGAATACTAGTTGATTAGAACAGAATTGGTGTTATGTACTGAGTTGAATAGGATCCAAAATGCAGCAGTCTGATTGGTCCTTGAACTATAGGATTCAGAATGCAGCAGTCTGATTGGTCCTCGAACAATAGGATCCAGAATGCAGCAGTCTGGTCCTAGAACAATAGGATCCAGAATGCAGCTGTCTGATTGGTCCGCAGGAGCCATCCAATCCAGCTCCAGGTGGAAGTGAATCCGCAACCTGATTGGCCTACAGGAGAATCCTGGAATTAGCCAATCACGTGGAGCCTATTGTGTAAATAATGTATATAAAGCAGACATTCTGGGGGAACTTCCATTCCTCCTCACCACTGTGAGCTGAATAAAGAGCATGAAATCCACTCTCGACTCAGAGTATATTTCAATTGGGGAGTTTAGAACAGAATTGGAGTACTGCTGCTGCACTCATGCCCTTCTTCTGGGCTTAAGGAATCTGGTTGGCCACTGTAAGAACAGTATGCTAGACTAGACAACAAGACCAGTAAGGGGCCATGTGCTGTGTAAAGGAATTATTGCCACACATTTATGGCAAATATAAAATTTAGTTATCTTTCGCAATCTTCTGGTGGCCATCCATAGTCGTGAAACAAAACCACTCTACAATTTAGTGCAATACCTGTTATAGTCGCTTGGTGGACTCTAGTAACGTGAAGTAAATAGGTTTTCTGCTCTGAAAGAGTGGGAGCTTTCTAATCGTTCTTCTCAACGCTTAAAAACAGAGATTTGTGAATTTCTTCCTGGAGCGATATAATCGCCACGTGTGCAACGCAGACCGCCTGGAGTTCTTAAACGGGTGGTACGTCCTGGTGATTATCAGTGATGTGATGACTATCATAGGCTCCATCATGAAAATGGAAATAAAAGCCAAGGTGAGCCTTAAAACCCCCCAAAAAACCAGTCACAAATATTTTGGCCTGTTCTCGAGCAGCTGCTGTGGGAATCCTAAATTGCCAAGCCATGCTTTTGAGGTATTTGAGGTACTGGAGGACTCAACTGTGCAAAATCTTGTTTTCCTTTGTTTTCTTCCAGAATCTTACAAGCTATGATGTCTGCAGTATTTTGCTTGGCACGTCTACTTTATTCGTTTGGGTTGGAGTCATTCGGTACTTAGGCTACTTCCAGACCTATAATGTAAGCACTAGAATAAAAAAAATTCCGTAGTGGATTTTTCCTTTCTTTTTAATGCGTGTGAGAACACCACCTTACTTCAGACAAGCAGGTCCGGGTCTGGTCCATGTCTGGATGGGAGACTCCCTGGGAACAACATGTTTACAACCATGGGTACAATGATGGATTAGATTCTGCCTTTCTTCCAAGAAAAGAAAGTAACACTCTCCTCCTTTCATAGGTGCTCATTTTAACAATGCAAGCATCGTTGCCCAAAGTGCTAAGGTTCTGTTGCTGTGCTGGGATGATATACCTCGGATATACTTTTTGTGGCTGGATCGTTTTAGGACCATACCACGACAAGGTATGTGGGTGTCTCAGTTTGTGTAACTGGGATAATGTAAAAAGTACATGTAAGCAAACACGGTGCTCTCCAGGTGTGGCTGCAGCACAGTTCTCAAAGCCCACCAAAAAAAATTAAGCTGTGCATACTCTGCATTCAAGATACATTTTTGTATATGCATGCTTCATTCTGCGTTCTGAATGAAGCGTGTATGTCTTGGAGTCCAAATAACTCGTAACACTTGGTTTTGTAAAGCAAACCTCTTCACTGGAAAATAAAATCGAAGGAAATAACGGTTTGCTCAGGAGGGAACGGAAAACTAGAAGGGCTTTTTGTCCGTGGCTCACCCTCAGGTTTCTCACAAGAGGGCAGTCTTGTATCACAGTTGTCCATTGACTGTGAACATGATCTCTTCACTGAAAGAAGACCGGTCTTGGTAGTTAGGTCAGAAGTTCAGGCATTTTCATCCTCTTCTTTGGTCTAAAATACCTTCAAACAGCAGTTTAAATTTGATCTCGCTGAAATCGCTGACAGAAAAGGCGCATTGTTCTTTATACGACTTTGCACGTGCATTATGCAGAGTTCCAGCACTATTTTCTAACTCAGTAGGCGGTTTCTGAACAAAGAATTTTATTTTATTTTTCACACCGTTTATATGATGGCATTTGGCTTTTTAGTTCAGATTTAAGAGGTATGAATGATATTTAGGCTTGCGCACTTCAATTTATATAGTGGCTTTAAAGAAAGATTTTATAAAGCGAGCCTTTGATTCTTTCAAGTGCAGTTGTCTCTAATGCCAGTTTTTCATGCGTTTTAGTTTGAAGATCTGAACACGGTAGCCGAGTGTCTGTTTTCTTTGGTCAACGGCGATGACATGTTCGCGACATTTGCTCAAATCCAGCAGAAGAGTACTTTAGTGTGGCTCTTCAGCCGACTCTACTTGTTTTCCTTCATTAGCCTCTTCATATACATGATCCTCAGCCTTTTCATTGCCCTTATTACGGATGCCTATGATACAATAAAGGTAAATTTATTGAGTCTGTGTTTATCAAGAGAGATGAGCTATTGTTCAAGAAGTAACAAGAAGTTCCCAGGTGGTGAGCTGGACTTCAATAACGTTTACTAGCTTTTGTTGTTGCTCCTTAAAAGTATGTAACTGTGTAGACTGGGTGGGCAGAGTTTGTTAAAAGGGGCGTGAAAATTGACTCCCACTAAATTTCACTCGCTTGCCCTGGCACGCACCATTTCCAATATGTGACAGTGATGGAACCTTCCAATCTCTGTAGTAAGTTGCAAAACTAAGGTTTCTCTATTTTTGGGAATGCTAATGTTCGATTTTATTAAGCTATTTGACAGCTATTTCTCCACATAGAATATGAAACTTCAGCTCTTCCAACTTTTGCTGTAATAATAAGGCAGGGATGATGATGATGATAATAATAATAATAATAATAATAATAATAATAATAATAATAATAATTTATTTATACCCCGCCCATCTGACTGGGTTTCCCCAGCCACTCTGGGTGGCTTCTAACAGAACACCAAAATACAATAACCTATTAAACATTAAAAGCTTCCCTAAACAGGGCTGCCTTCAGATGTCTTCTAAAAGTCTGGTAGTTGTTTTTCTCTTTGACATCTGGTGGGAGGGTGTTCCACAGGGCGGGAGGCAGGTAAAGGCAGTCCCAGGCCCATGTAGAGTTTATCTGAGGCCAGGGGCGGAAGTCTTGTTGGAATAAAGTTATAAACGCAAACAAAAAAAGTGGTCGGTCCCTGACGGGAGTCCCTCAGCTGGCTTACCCCTCTGTGGCCCAGGGCATGTGTATTTGGCTGCCCCCCACCCCACCTCTGCATGGGCCTGGGCAGTCCTGTTTTGGCTGCACAGCCTCAAAAGACACTGAAAGCCAGAAGATACCGCTGTCTTCCCTGCCCTGGTTGTTTTGAACAGTAGTATTGAAAACCCTGTACTAAAGTAGCCTGGCAGAGTGTGTCTTGGAAAGGATCTAGGGAGCAGGAACAGCAAATTGTGTGATTATTTTGTCAAGCCCATGCACAAGAACATTAGTAGTTTTGTACTGATGTTGCAGGTCGAGCTGTTCCATCTAGAATAAGAGGATGCAAAGGGGAGAGCATTTTTATCTCCCTCCTTACAACGTGCACTATAAAAAGAAGAAGAAAATGATCGCAACCCTACAACTTGGTTTAGCCTTGCAAGCTTCTGCTGTAACTTCACCCATTCCTCTCCACCTGTGATATACAGGGTCGGGAGAGCAGTATGAAACGGAGAGTGGCTTCCTAAACAGATTCCCCCCCCCCAACTCCTGTTTCAGAAATACCAACTGATCGGTTTTCCAGACACAGACCTACAAGAATTCCTAAAAGAATGTAACAGTGAAGAATACAGCACAGAGCCACGAACGTTCAGGAGTTTCTGCTGCTGCAAGAGGTCAGTGTGTTGTTTCTTTAGATTCCTTTAAATTCTGCATACCGTATTTTTTGCTCTATAAGACGCACCTTTTCCCTCCTAAAAAGTAAGGGGAAATGTGTGTGCGTCTTCTGGAGCGAATGCAGGCTGCGCAGCTATCGCTGAAGCCAGAACAGCAAGAGGGAGAGCTGCGCAGCAATCCCTCTTGCTGTTCTGGCTTCAGGGATAGCTGCGCAAAGCCTCTTCAGCGAAGCGGGAGCGTTCCTCCTCCCGCTCTGCTGAAGAGGCTTTGCACTGCTGTGCTGAAGCCAGCACAACAAGAGGGAGAGCTGCACAGCGCCTCTTGTTGTGATGCCTTAGCCTGATCCTCCCTCCTCCTTCCTCTTCAACAACATTTGATTCAGAATATTTTTTTTCTTGTTTTCCTCCTCTAAAAACTAGGTGCGTCTTATGGTCGGGTGCGTCTTACAGAGCAAAAAATACGGTCTTTGTAAAGAGCTTTCAGGTTAAGGTATCCACATGGCTTTTCTGCTGTTGTACCTTCTATGCCAGCTTTTAAACACCTCCTGGGAACTTTAAATTCTGCCAAGCTTATGCAAGCAGTTAAGAATCATACGAGTTGTAAGGGAGCCCCAAGGGTCATGTCGTCAAACCACCTGCAATGCAGGGATCGCAACTAAAGTCTCCACGATAGAAGAGTACGTCCCCCACAATGGGTTACTGGTCTTTGTTTTGAACCTTGTTGCTTTTTAACATTTTTTGTATAGTTTTATCTCACCGTTACAAACTGTTTTGATACGTTTGGCTGGTATAGCGGTAGATAAATATTTATAATAAGTAATAAAATAAAACTATTTGGAAGCGGCTTCTTCTAGCAATGGAGGGGAAGAAAGGGATCACATGCAAATCTCTCCTCTTGTGGAGCAACTGTGCTAAGGACAGGGCTTCCCACCAGGAAGCCAACAGGGATCATATGGTTGTGAGGTGTATTGTCCAGAATGCCTCTCTTAGTGATTGCATTGGAAAAAAAGGATTGTTTTCAGTTACATTTATTCAGAATCATAGAGCCAGAGAGGACCATGAGGGTCATCCAGTCCAACCCCCTGCAATGCAGGAATCTTTTTGTCCAACGTGGGGCTCAAACCTAAAACCCTGAAATTTAAGAGTGCTGTGGCATCTAATATTGCTCTAGCACTGGGGCTCCAGGAGCAACTAGGACCAAGCAGCAGAAGGGTTGAGTGGAAGTAGGTGCTGGATTTCGCATATGGAACTAACCAGCCAGTTTTTTTCTTCTAAATAACAACAACAACAACAACAAAAACAACAACAACAACTTATTATTTATACCCCGCCCATCTGGCTGGGTTTCCCCAGCCATTCTGGGCGGCTTCCAACTGAACATTAAAAACAGTACAGCATCAAACATTAAAAACTTCCCTAAAGAGGGCTGCCTTCAGATGACTTTTAAAAGTAAAATAGTTGTTTATTGCTTAAAGTTGTTTGTTGTTTAAAGTCTTTTAGTCTTGAGTATTAATATTTACAAACCCACCTCCGTCAGGCAAGACTTCCAAGCTGCAGCTGAAGAATGCCACATTTTAAGTAGCCCCTTCAATATCCCAAAAGACAGGCTTCCTCAACCCCGGCCCTCCAGATGTTTTGAGACTACAATTCCCATCATCCCTGACTACTGGTCCTGCTAGCTAGGGATCATGGGAGTTGTAGGCCAAAAACATCTGGAGGGCCGAGGTTGAGGAAGCCTGCCTAAAGACTAGTTTTATTTTATTTTTTTTAAAAAAAAAGCAAAATGCTTATCAATACTGAAGCAATATTCACCCATTTTGGAGAACTTTTTAAATAGCCCCATATGGACACATCCTGTACTTATTGCCAAGGACAGCTTGAGGTTAAGGGCAGAGCACACCAGACTTGTTTTCCTGCCCCACTTCTATCCTTGCATGTCTCTCTCGAGCATAGCAGTCGTTTGCTGACACCGAACATGTATGCGCTAGCCTTGAACTAAAATAGAGGGTGCACAAATGGCCCCTGGAGATGCATGTTGTCCAGTATTCAGCCTTTGCTGGATGTATCTCTTTACACCAAGGTGTTGTGCCAGTCTTTGGCTCCTCATAGTAGGCGCATAGCAGGGACGGTGAAATATACTCGGAGACCTGAAGTTATTTAATGCTCTTTGTTTCAGCTTTTAAAACAGTGATTGAATTGCCCCCCAAACCTCAGGCTTTTATATACATTATTTACACAATGAGTCCTGTCTGATTGGCTGATTCTGCTTCCTTCCTGGAGCCTGATTGGTCTTTTCCTGCAGGCCAGTTGTTGCATTCTATGATCCTACCAGCCTTATAGGCTGGTTAACTTCCTCCTGGAGGCTGATTGGTCTTTTCCTGCAAGCCAATCAGTTGTTGCATTCTAGGATCCTACTTGCCTATTGTTCTAGGATCCAAGCTTAGTACATAACAGAAGGGCTGTCGTTCAGCGGCAGAGGGTCTGCCTTGTATGCAGGTTCAGTTGCTGGCATCTCCAAATATTGTTGGGAGGTAACCTAGTCTGGGGCTGCTGCTACTTGATGCAGACTACTCCATGCTAGAGAGACCGATGGCCTGACTGGCAACTTTCCGATGTTCCACCTGCGATTCCTGCTGAACATCTGGAATGTGTTGTGAGACCCTCTTGCCTCTTTTCATGAACTCTGGATGTAGGGAATACCCAAAGAGAGCTGTAAATATATGAAAGGGGACTGATGATAGCAGAGCCTGGGACTCATCACTGCCAGGAACTGATAACTGAGGAGGCTGGAAGTGCAGAAAACAGCTGCAGCTACAGATTTTAGCGCTTTATCCTGTCTTTTCATTCTTATCCATCTGAAACGGTGAACTTCTTCTTTCTGCAGACGGAAAAGCGATGACAACTTGATACTTATTAACTGAAGATGGGTGGTGCTGGCATAAATTTTTGCACACGTGGAGGTAACTGCTGGGAGAAGCTGAGCCTCCTGAACTGCAGTAGAACCACCGCCATGTGGTTCTTTCCCCCCTCTACGAACCAACGACTACAACTTTATAAAGAGAAGTGGTGGAGTCGCCCTGCAGTCCACAGTTGGAAAGCTCAAAAACTGTACATCTTGAGCTAGCATTTCATCAACAGCTGATGACCATTTCTTGCTTCTGTTGTAAATAGCTCATCTTGCAAGTCGTGGTCAATGAACTTCAGAGAATCGGTTATCATTTGGTCACTTCTTGATTTGCAACCTGCTTTCTAGGTATTTTTATATTAAAATATATAAATGAAACTCACCTCCTAAAAGAACACAGAATATTGCGGTTCTTGGTGACAGTACCATTTTTAAGGTTTCTTTTTTTGGAATTACAAATGTAGGTTTTCCCTTTAAACCTATGCAAAACTTGTACCATTATGCTTTCTCTTCTTTCTGGATTTTGTTTCATGAAATTGATCTAAAAAGCTGTTTGGTCATTTGAGGTTCACTCAGCCAGATGTGCACTCCCCCCCTTTAAAACAAACAAAGAATCAATCATTGTGTGTGTCATCCCTATTGTCCCCTTGCATCTAAATGAGGCTGCAATTCTTTACATTGGCCAGGAGATGAAACTTGCCTGCAAATCCTTTACAAATCCATGGCAATGGCAGGCCTGTTCGCTCTTCATTGGCTTCTGAAGCAGAAAAGAGGTTGCACCCTAAAACCACCTGCGGATGATAGAGCCCCACCAGGACCCTCTCAGCCAGGAAGGCCTAGAGGGGGCTTTGCCTCCTTCCAAGATCTACCCTGTCTTCCTTCACCTCTCACTGTCTGCTTGTAACCACTGGCCACCAGGTATAAAGCAGTAGTGCAGGTGAGGACAATGCGGGATTGAGAAGGAGGGTGGAACTTTGGGTGAGCCGCTTGAACTTTAAGGCAATTATAAACCCTCAAAGCTGGTATTAGAGCCCCAAGTCTTTCCTGGCATCTGCAGTAGAAACAATGGCAAGTCAAGGCAGGTTGTGTGACTCCTAGCAGTAAATTCAAAAGAGGGGGAGTCAACAGCACAGGCTACAGCCTGTACCCTAACAAGGAAGGGAGGCAAGCAAACCAAACCAGCCAAATTGGGGTCCTTTTCTTTGTTATCCGTTTGGTGGCAGAGGGTGAATTTTTCTTTTCTTTTCCTTAGGCTGCCCCCATTAAATAGCCCTTTGAATTAGGTAGAGTGGAATGACAGTTCAGAGTGAGGTGAATAATAACCAGGTTTCGTACCAGATTTTTCCAAAACAAACCCGTGCTTTTGCTAAAAGTTTTAAAAGGCAACAAGCTTAAAAAGCTGTTTCGAGAAAATTAGTTTAGGAAACCCTGAATGCAAGGACTTTCCCATTACATAAAACCTTTTATTGAAGTGAAAACGACACATGTATTGATAATGCTCACGCGCTAATATCTGAGTCGGACTTGCATAGCAGGTGGGACTGGCTTTGTGGAAAGATCAGGACCTACTGATCTTAGCCTAGCTTAGCCAGATGCTTGCCAGAGGTGTGATAGCCCTTGGTATCTTTTGGAGCAAAATAGCTAAATAGCTTTTCCGTTTTGTTTGTTACATGGGTGCGTGTTTGTTCTAAGTTTGCTATATATCAGGCAGTGAACTCTTGTAGATTTCACTATGTTCGAACTCAGTTCAACTCCCAATAATGACAGTGCGACTGAAAATGGGTTTATTGGGAAATGAAAGGTCTAGGAAACCAAGCCAAGAGAGATGCTGTTGCCCAGTACATAAGGAAAGAACCTAGCATGATGTGCCTTCAGGAAATTTGCCATGTTAACTGTTGGCAATGTTCATTGAAACAAAAACAATTAGGACTTCACTTTTCTGCATCTGGCACTTAAAAGTCTCACGGGATAGCAATCATATTATATTGTAATTTCCCCTTTCAATTGCCATATAGTTATTGGCACCCCTCCAGCCCACTATCAAAGGTTTATGGGGGAAAGCACATCACAATAGCTTTGGTATACAGCCCCAATGTAACACAATGGGACTTTCTCAGAAAGACCTTGACAAAAATTGCTAATATTAACGGGAGGTGATTTAAAGGTGGTTGGAGACCACATGCAGACTAACCTTGAATGAGGAATAGGGCTGGGCCATATCTGGTTTTCAACATCGTGCTATATCACCAGTTAAACATCTCCATATACACAATGTCTGAAATAAGGATGGAGCTATGTAGAGGCATTGGCCGGCTTCACTGTTTTTCCTGCATTGTGATTTTTGGTGGTGCCTGCTCCTATGATTCGCTGCCCCCTGTAGCAGCCAGGGGAGAGTTGAACCAACAAGAGTTAATGGGAAAATTGAGAGAAACATTGGCTGACTTCATGGTTTTCCCTCATTGTGATTTTTGCATCACACACACACACACACACACACACCATGATTTGAGATATATATTGCCAGGTCAAAAATTATGAAACTGATATCACGATAATGGACTTCAAACCAGTTTTGGACGATATAGGTATCAATATATTGCCCAGCCCTAATGAGGAATGGTAGTTTGCTGAAATGTTTACAATTTTATTTATTATTATTTTTACAAAACTGCTGCTTTGATTAGGCAGATGAGGGCTCCCAGTCAAATCATTAGGAGTATAGCTTCAATTCAGCACTCACAGATCCTTTTCTAAAATAAGTTATGTTTTTTCCTCCATAAACCTTTTTGTGTGCCCAATCTGCATCCAGGGTATGCAAAATATTAGTACATGCCTCATGACGGCACAATTCTGTATTTTCAGTCTCCATATGACACCCCAATTGGAGATTTAATTTTAAGTTACTTTGCAAGAAGATGGACGAGACAATCCACTACTGTACTACCTTAAAGGCAACAGTGGTATGGGACTACAATGAAATCTGTTACAAGGGGGTTGCAGCAATTAGTAGTGAAGTTGCAATTATAAACAGCATGACAAATAAAAACTTATTAGGATCTTAAATGAAGGCATAATCTACCTGGTTCTCCAGCAGCAGGTAAAATAATGGAAGATAAAATATATGAACTAGAGAAGATAAAGCAGAACTGAAGGATAAAAGAAGATTTCAGTTGTATCTTAGAAGTACTTTGAACAAGTAAATAAACACGCAACTGCCCTTAGAATAAATGAAGGAAACTGCCCTTAAAAAGAAATGCAAAAATTGGGACCAAGATGGAGCCAAGACTTTTGATTCGAAAACAATGGAAGATTTGTCAAGTACTATGCACCGTTATATAAAAGCAGTGACTCAGGAAGGAAATGAAATGCTCCAAGTTAATTTCAAATGTATTTTGGAGGATTGTAACTTACCTAAATGGCAAAGTAACACTGGAGAAAGTGCAAAGGCAATTAATAAGCTGAAAATCTCATTGACCTGATCGGTTTTTGAGTGCTTTTCTACAAAGCACTTAGAGTGCCTTATGCCTTATTTAATAGACAGAGGAGGGCGTGCTAGAAACATGACTGTGGTTCAAAAGAGTAGTTATAACTACTGAGAGCATGTTTCATCATACTGACCAATCTTGCTACTTAACACTTTACATTAAAGTGGTAGAGGAGCTGAACTCAGTAATTTCTAGCTGTATTGGTCTGGATCACATCTAAGAAAAATCAACAGTTTTGCAATTGCTTTTATTCAGATTATTTCCAAACTATAATTTCTAGGAACTGCAGTCCAGAGACTTCTAAGACGGAATTATTGGTATGTTCTTCAGGGAAATCTTACGTTTTATAATGTTTGGGTGATGGGTTGATCTGTTACTGTGTTTTATAAACTTGTATCCCTGCCCTACAATGTAAATATTGTCTATGGTGACTTAGGATAATGTGTATATACACTATTGAATAATTAACATGATTCTGTGTTATGAGATCTGGGCTAGTGTGAGTGCAGGTTAATCTAGCAAAGAAGAGTATATAATTTTTTTTCTACCCCCAAGAAAAATCTGATTTAGTGTTAGCATTGCGTGTCCTCCTTTAAAAACTAGGAGGAATAATAATTTAAAAAATGCTGTCCCCAATGCATAATGGAAATGCTGTGAATTTCCACATGGAATATGCTTTCAGTAGCTGGAGGCCACTGTGGAGAAATGTGTTGCAATCCTACTATGAATCATCTTCAAAGGTTGAGGGAATGAAAGTCGTTAGTTTAATTGAAATGACTCAGCACTCTGTAGCAGCAAGAAATCTGAGAATTAGCCCTAAGTGTGGCCTAAGATGCAGTGGAGGGGAGAGTCAAGACAGCTTTGAACTCTGCAAGCCAACTTTCCTAGTTTGCTGCTAAACCAGAAAGGGATGCTGTCATTTGCCATCTTGGGTGGGTGGGGGGGGGGGAGACACACAACAAACTTAATGTACGTGGCCTTAGTGAGGTGAGCAGTACAGGTGAGTGTTATAACCAAGTAGCAAGATTGGGTGGGTGGTGTCATTCTGCCAGTGATTTAATTCTAGACAGTTTCATTTTAGTAGCTTTAGATGGGGAGGCGTAACACAACCACATGTGTGTCCCAAATCGGTTGTATTTATAAATGTGCAAAGTTTCCACTCCAGTGATGGAGTGCGATTCTGTGACGCTATTCGTTGTGAGTACATTTGGTCTAGTCCAGTTCTTGTGTCGTCCCCCCTCCCTACCTTTTCACTGAAAGCCTTTTACTGGATCAGCTGCAGGAAGGAAATGATAAATGATCTGGGTTTAAGCCTAATGACAGAGAGGAAAAGCTATCTTCAGGACCAAGACATTAACCATAAGAGTCTGAGTACCCTAAACCTCCAGAGTTAGGAATTTCAGTCTTCAAATGATTCAGTATTGATCATATATTCTTATAACTGTCCATTTATCTTACATATTTGTAAAAGACTCTGGAAAAATGTAGTATTCTACTTGATCTACTGACTTGATTGCTTCCACAGCAGCCCTTTTCTCCAGAATAGACATTGTTAATTCACTCAATTGTTCTTGTGTCTTTTTTTCAAATTGGAAGCGTGTTTGATGCTCCCAGTTTTTCAAATGAAAATACTCCAGGAATATTTCTCATATAGCAAGACATACACAGATTTCGTCATTGTCAGATATAATTACAGGGATGTAGTATGGCTGGACCACTTATCAACTAACTATCAACTAACTAACTAACTAACTAACTAACTAACTAACTAACTAACTAAAACTAACTAACTAACTAACTACAAAATACTATTGTATATATTGATAGCAAGTTTCCTATACACTGATATGTAATGTAGCCAGAGTCGCAACATTCATGCACAAGAGGAAGATTCTGACAGGCTCAGGAAAATGCCAGGTTTACAGAACTACAAAAATCTTTTAGAAAAAGAGCAGCAGCTTAATCATGACTGAGAATGCTCAGTGGCCACAGAATTCTGACTGGTTGTTGTCAGGGTAGGGACGAACAGAATGAAATTTCAGAGATAAATTTACACGAAGCCCTCTCTTTGTTGCCATTATTAAGAATTTCTGAATTCTTAATGAATTCTGAATTCTGAACAGAATACCTGAACAGATACATTATGATTATGATCATTATGATTATTATCATTATCATTATTATTTACTGCCATCCACCTGCAGATCTCAGGGCAGTTCACAACATAAAAACACCATATAAAAGCACAAAATACACGATAAAAGCAATAACCAAAAAACCCCCACCACAAATCAATAACCTTCACTCCCACAAACACATTTTAAAAGGGTTTAAGATGTTAGCCAAAAGCCTGGTTGAAGAGGAATGTTTTCACCTGGCGGCTGAAGGAGTATAATGAAGGCGCCAGGCGAACCTCCCTGGGGAGAGCATTCCACTTACCTCTAAATGTATACATACCAAAAGAGTATATTATCCAGCCCTGTTACAGTGTGGAAATCATTATGGCTTTTCAATTATTGTTACATTATACGCTCTCGCTTCCAGCTTTAAGTATTGCTACTTTCAGTTTTATCAAGCAAGATATGGAAACCATGAGTGCTAGAAACATTAAAATAAATAGGAAAGCTGTGGCATCAGAGCTGCAACAGGAAATGTTGAGTGGCATGAAAGTGGCCCTGTTGACTCTGTGTAATCCGTGAGCCTTTTGCCTGCCTGCCTATAATAATAAGCAAACAGCAGATAAGTTTGCAATAAGTCTGTCTCCACTGAGAAGAATTCATAACCCAGAGTTCTCATCCCGCTGAAACAAACAAACAAACAAAAAACGCTTTGCAGTTGCACAGCTTTTAAGTAATGTGAGCTACAATATTCAGCTTAATGGGAGAGAAAATGATTTATTTTTTTTAAGTGGCTGAAATGTTGCTTATTGAAAGCAAACTTGACAGATGAGACTGGAGGGTGATAATGGAGAAAACCACAATGCAAGCTAGGCTTATTTACCTGCTCCTCACAAACTAGTTAGTATTTTGTCATTACATTTTCAAATGCAAAAGAGAAAATGAATGTGAATACCGGCAAGCTGTATAAGGTTTTAAAGTTGTGAAGCTTACCCCCCACCTGGGGGGGGGACTTTTATCAAATCTCTGTGCTATAGTTTCTTTTTCAAAGGGGAGGGTCTTTGGATTCCACAATGCCAAGTGGGGACTTGCATTACTTTTTGTTTTATTTTATGAAATGCTGAAGATTAATTTTTAAAATCTGAGCCAAGTAGTCTCAGTGAAGTTCATGCTCGTAAATTCGGCTGATCCAAGTGACTTAAATTTGGCTTCACTCTGTTTTTGAAGTTCCACAAAGTTCTCAGGGGCAATTAAATTATATATGGAATGTTGAACAAACCTTGGCAACGAAGCTGTCTTCTCAGCCCCTCCATCTTAATAACTAAAATGACCTTCTGTTTTACAATATGTAATGGAACAATTACGTACCATAGCACACAGGGGTTTCTCCCCCCTCTATGTGTGTGTTAAGACAGAGTCTCCTTGATTTGAAGTTCAATGTAGATTCTGAGTTCTCATACACATAGCTAGCATCCACCTGAATATTCCTATTTGGCATATATTCCAATTGCTATTTCGTGGTGTGTATATAAAAAGGTAAAGGGACCCCTGACCATTAGGTCCAGTCGCGGACGACTCTGGGGTTGTGGCGCTCATCTCGCTTTATTGGCCGATGGAGCTGGCGTACAGCTTCCGGGTCATGTGGCCAGCATGACTAAACCGCTTCTGGCGAACCAGGGCAGAAATGCCGTTTACCTTCCCACCAGAGCGGTACCTATTTATCTACTTGCACTTTGACGTGCTTTCCAACTGCTAGGTTGGCAGGAGCAGGGACCGAGCAACGGGAGCTCACCCCGTCACGGGGATTCGAATCGCCAACCTTCTGATCGGCAAGTCCTAGGCTCTGTGGTTTAACCCACAGCGCCACCCGCATCCCTGTGGTGTGTATATAAAGGTAAAGGTACCCCTGCCCGTACGGGCCAGTCGTGTCCGACTCTGGGGTTGTGTGCCCATCTCACTTAAGAGGCCGGGGGCCAGCGCTGTCCAAAGACACTTCCGGGTTACGTGGGCAGCGTGACAAGCTGCATCTGGCGAGCCAGTGCAGCACACAGAAACGCCGTTTACCTTCCCGCTAGTAAGCAGTCCCTATTTATCTACTTGCACCCGGGGGTGCTTTCAAACTGCTAGGTTGGCAGGCGCTGGGACCAAACGACGGGAGCGCACCCTGCCGCAGGGATTCGAACCGCCGACCTGACAATCGGCAGGTCCTAGGCGCTGAGGTTTTACCCACAGCGCCACCCGCGTCCCAAGGGTGGTGTGTATATACAGATTAACAACCCCCCCCCCCATGTTTCCACCTTCATTTCAACTTCATGGACATGTAGCTGAGATTAAGCACCACTTTGTTGCAGAAAAGGTTAATTTATATTAAAAGTGAAAATACTAAAATTGAGCAACTGTAACCATGCATATGCTTGGCTGGCTAGCCCCTGACTGCACAATGTTTTAAACAACAAGAAGAGGATGTTGTGGCAACCAGAATTGGTGTATATTGGAGCCTGTTTGACACTGACCCATCTTCTGCTGCTAAGTGGATAGCTTGGGATGGTTCTGGCCCCCTTGAATTTCAGCCCCCCCCCCAAGCAGTCACATGCAGGGTCTCTGCCCACAGCATTACATCCTCAACAAATAGCAAAAAAAGGTATCTGAGGAGTGGCTGGGGAAACCCAGCCAGATGGGTGGGTATGAATAAAAAATTATGATTATGATTATTATTTTCCAACTTACTGGAAGCTTCTTCCACTGAAGAGATAAATGGAGAGGTTTCATTTCTCTTTAGTGCCTTAAAACATCTCCGAGGTAAAGCATGTACTAATGCAAGGTAAAACATTGGTGTGGGCAAGATTGCTCGCTGCCAACCGAGCAAGAGTGAATCTTGCAGAAGTACAGCTCACACACAACTGATTCTCCGTACCTTCACGTGCCGTACGGTGGACCTGCACTGCTGCAGAGGTTTGAACTAGATGACCCTTGACAATCCCCTCCAGCTCTACAAGTTCTATGATTCTATCACGACTCAACTACAGATTAACCTAACAGCAAAGATATCAAATCCAGTTTGCTGACTTTATAAGAGCAATAAACGCAAGGGCAAGATCACTGTGAGATACTGGTCAGGTGGGCGAGTCATTGTTTGGGTCTACAACGGGGCTAACTGGACTTGATGGTTATATCAGTGTTTGTTTAACTGCATGTCTGGCCTAGTCATATATAGGGTGTGTCTGTTGTTAGCTTCAAAAAGAGGCACACAGGTTTGGGGAGCTGAAACATCTCATGCTGGCTATACTTTTCTGCAGCCCGTTGCTCTCACTTCTGGTATTGATGTCGCCAGTGCTTTAGGGGTACTCTCATTTTAACGCAAGAAAATCACCATTTTATAGTTCAAATCGCAAAAAATAAAGACAGTAAATGGTCAAAAGTACAAAGATTCACAAAATGTTTCCGGGTATGCGTACCCCCAGAAAAAAGCACTGGATGTCGGACTTGAGAAGGACCCTCTATATTAGAGGGATATGAAAAGATGACACTTTTACGAGACCTGAAATTTCTTGCAGAACTTTTCGAGAACACAGCTTTCATATTTATTTAGGTTTCTAGCACTCATGGTTTTCTTGCTTAGATAAAGTTATGGATGGTCTCCACAAATATTTGCTTTGAAACTCCAGCGCATGAATATTTCAGCTCAAATGTCCGATACTTACTTTCAGTGCTTCCTAATTGAATTTGTTGAAAAGCGAAGACACAGCATCTTCCTTTATTTGATTTGATTTGCTGCTTATTGGCAAGATTAATGTTTCAAGCCATATTGTGGAAGAGCTGGAAATCAATGCTTTACTGAAAACACTTGTCATGTTCATTGCTGTCTGTCTTGCAACAACAATCGAGAGGCTGCCAAAAGTCTCGTGTCAGCTTTTTACTTTTTGTGGTGGTACAAAGTCAAGAAGATGCCTGGCGCTTAGATCAGCTCTTAATTCTGCCTATGACAAGAACCGGCAAGGCAGATTTCTGGTTAGCTCATGCTGCGAGCTGTCCCACAAGTGGAGGCAGACATCAATATGGCCACTTAACAAGTTTTCTGAGAATGAGCGCTCATTTCCCTTCGTTCATTGAGTCTCCATGGGTTATCTCAGAACCAAAATTGTAATTTGTGTAAAAAGCAGGAAAGGAATTAGAAAACAGAAGTGGCTTTTAAAAAGGGAGGTGGGGGTAGGGGAAATTCAAAGAAAGGAGATAGCTGTGTTGGTTGGGTGAGGAAAGGCATAAGAATTGCTTTAGGAACATTGGAAGCTGCCAAGGCAATTCTATGTAACAGAACTAATGCACAGAAATAAAAAGGGTTCCAGTGGGGAACAGGGCCAAAGTTGGATTATTTATCCACCTAGCCCAATATTGTCTACACTGATTGGCAGCAGCTCCTCAGGGTCTCAGGCAGAGGTTGCTTGT